CAAACGTAATCGTTATTACCTACTCAATGTTTATAAGTTTTCATCAACACTTTCAGCGAAGATTCTTTCTGAGATTCTCGACATTATGATTAGCAATTAGGACCACTTTCACGTCAAAATCGAAATTATATGTGGGTTGTGATATAGTATATAGAAAGGTTTTATTGAACAAATTCCATCGTCGCAGTCTTACAACTGAATTGCCAATGGAATACAATTGAAAAGTACATGTATTTACAAATTAAAAGTACAATAGTCTTAGGACTATGACATAATATATATACAAATATCATATTAAAACTCTATATCAAAATTCAATGAGTATGGAGAGAAAGAAGGGATGAATGAGGAATTGGAGCAAGAATCAACAAAAGGTGAGAGAAGAATGAAAGGAAAAGAAAGGAAGGGTAAGTAAGAGGAATATTAATGATTAGACAGATATCTTTGAAATCGAACTGCTGCAATTTAATCTATTCAATATATCAATAAGAAAATTAAAAAGTTTGACATCTTTTCGAATTAGCCCACAGTATGTAGGTAAGTATTTTGTAAATATTCATACTATTTTGTAGATAATAGATTTCAGTAAGGATCGGGAGACCCAGTAACTGACGAGAGTATTGATGAATATTGAAATAACAGCATGAAAGAGTGTACATTCAATTTTATTTCGAAGGGTGCTTTAAAAAAAAAGGAGGGGGGGGGGGGGTATGCCACTAAATGTAAATGTTTATTGCACTGGCTTTTTCGAAGAAAATATTACAACAAACTATACAGCAAAATTAAAACGAAACGCATTTGCGAATTATTGTGAAACCAAAATCAAATAACATAGTTTCTTTATTTGAATAATGAACTGAAAGTTTCATTTTCTTGATCTTTTATGAATGTTGATAGGTTGCTATGAAAATTCATGAATCTATATAAACGGAGATGGAATAATCGGTTAACCGAAGGTAGTCCGTCACGGTACAGAGCGGGTCGGGGCTCTGTACAACGGGGCATTTAGTGACCCAAAGAGGGGAGGGGGGGGGGGAATGATGTTAATATATTTTTGTTGTCAAAATTCCCCCTTTTCGGTCTGGCTATACCCTATATTGTGATAATTCTAGAATTTTGAAAAATCGAAATGTTATTCTGTTCGTAACAAAATTTGGTGAAATATTCAGGCAGTGATAATTGAAAATCGTCAAAAAAAAAAATAAGAGCTGAGCACGCATAGATTTGCTTATTAAAGTGTATAACAAGAAGGTACCAACATCGTTTTGAGCTGGCGAAAGAGAAATTCAATTTTCGGATACAAATTTTCGTTAAATACCACAGGGAATTGAAGCTGTCTTTGTCTCTTTTTAGGGGGAGGGGCAGATATAGTGTGAATTCATCGAGATCAGCAAACAATCAGTAGTCTCCAGAACTACCATATCAATCAACGTAGTTGTTGAAGAGCTGGAGAAGGCGATGTGGACAATTGCAGGTTTTGTATTTCATCACAGAAACATCTTTAACCTGTCTTGTTAAACAGGTTATAGATGTCTCTTTGATGAAACATTTTAATATTTAATGTATTGATGATTGATTTCCAATTATTTTACATCAAAAGCAAAAATCGAAATTTAAGTGAAATAAAGATGAGAAGAGTGTTTTGCTTTACATGAGCAAGGAGGTAAGTAAAGACGCATATTTGGCAATCATAAAACTAGCCAGAGACAAAATGTTCACCCCTTTAAATCGAGTGACAAATTGAAATAACTTAAAGGTAATACAAAGTTTTGGTATGGGATCATGCATTCGGTTTAAATTAACATGTTGGAAGCGTATACGATTTTACAAAATTTAATGATCGTTGTCGCGGTTGAAATCGAGTCTAAAGTGATAAAATTGTATATAATAAACTCTTTATGTTGTATAGCTCCCTCTTAAGACTGATATCACTTTAGCTTTAAAGATACTATGTCCCTTTTGCAGCCAACCTCAAATTCAGTAGAAATTTGCAGGAATTATGAATATGTCATGTATGTCCCATCTGTGAAATTTAAACGTTAGCAGTGTCCTAATATTCAAATTATGCAAGGATCGAAACCCGTTTAATTCCTAGACTGCACTGTCAGACACTGTTGAGTGACTGACTGGCTTTTTTCTTCTTTGGTAATAACATACATAAAATGAGCTGTAAAGGGTACATGAGTATCTGTCTACATCAATAACCTGCTTCTTGTAATGGCAAAAATTAAACTGATTGAATCTTTGCGGAGCATAAAACGTAGTACCATGCGGTACAATGGTCTGAGAATCAAGACTATTACTTATTGGCTCTATAGCTCCTAAGTCAATTCGACAACTAATAGTCGTTATTTTCCCACTTAAAGACATTTTCAAGCCCCCCCCCCCTTTTTTAGGGGAGTTCTAAATTAGTATTATCTTCCGAATGCCATTGGAATTTAAACTTTTCATTTTTTTGACCTGCAAAAGGGATATAGTACCTTTAAAACAATGTTTCTTGACTACAATAATTGACCGATTTGCTATTTCCGTTTGGAAATAATATATCAGAGCTGCATATTATGATATGCTTGTGGTCGCAGTTACCATGGAATGACCTAAGGCGCTGTTATTTTTTAAAAAAATTTATAAAGCGTGTTTTAAAGGCTAAATTTTCTAGTGCTTATAATACACCCACAGGGGCTTCCAAATATATCAACATTTTAAAGAATTACTATCCACCCGATTTTCAAAATTTCCCGAAACTTTGCATTACCTTTAACAAGTTGTGAAAGAACTTCATGCACAGAGCAATTCAAACGCGACTAGATTAAAGGAAGAAAACATGACTAAAATCTAGTATCCAAGATCAAAATTGAGGAGATGGTACAATCGGTCAACCGAAGGTAGTCCATCACGGTACAGAGCGGGGTGGGGCTCTGTACATTAAACTGTTAGTGTTTTCTAAATTTTCCCCTTTTTATATCGTATTTGTTTTGTAACTAATGCAGTTTGTGTTCTTTGTTTTCTTACGTATTCATGAATATTGGTATTAAAAACATGGAAGAATGAAAGCCATAAAGCCGTAAATCAAAGAGTAACTTTTGAATGAAATATAATGGCGTATCCAGACATTTAAACCCAAAGGACCTTGCCCCCCCCCCCCCGCAAACAAAAAAAAAAAAGAGATAGAGAGAAGGAAAAAAAGGGAAAGGGAAAGAGGAGAGAAAGGGTGAAAAAGAAGAGGAAGAAGAAAAGAAAAGAAGAAGAATATCGGGGGAGGGGGGGGGGGCAAAATGACTTGCTTCCCAGGCTGTTGCCTCCCCCCCCCCCCCCACCAATCAAAAAATAAAAGAGAAGGAAGGAATGGGAAAGAAAAAAGGAAAAGAGGAGATAAAGGGAAGGAAATAAGAGGAAGAAGAAAAGAAAAGAAGGGGGATATCGGTTGCAATTTTCCGCCAACAAGTTGTGGATCGGGGGGGGGGGCAAAAGGCCCTTGCCTCTCCCCCCCCCCCTCCCCGTCCTCGCTATAAAAAAAAAGAGAGAGAAGGAAAGAAAAGGTAAAGAGGATAGCTAAAAGGGAACAAAAGAGAGGTAGAAGAAAAGAAACGGGAGAAAAGAATGGGAGATTAGTTGCGGTTAATCCATCCCGCCAACAATGTGTGGGGCGGGGTGGGAGCCAAAATGACCTTGCCCCCCCCCCCAGCAGACCTAAAAGAGAGAGAAGGAAGGGGAGGGAATGGGAAAGAGAGAAAGGGAAAGAAAAAAAAAGAATGAAGAAAGGTAAGGGATATCAGTTGCAATTTTCCCGCCAACAAGGTGTAGATCGGGGGGGGGGGGGGGGGGGGGGAGGGTGCACTGGCGTAGGGGAAGGGGGGGGGGGCTTTAGGGAAATAAAATTCAAGCGTGGTTTATTTCTAATTCCATAACAGTGGTTTACAAATAATGCTTTAATGACATAATTTTCCGAGATTTTTCCTCACTTTTAAGTAAATTATACTTTTTTATGCGTTTGTTGGAAAATGACAAATTCCTAAATTTAAAGCCAGGCAGGAAAATGCTTCTTGAGATGCCTACATGTCAGGGCCCGCGGAACGGCGGGGATCTGAATCCTCGAGCCCCCCCCCCCCACACTTTTTTTTGAAAAAGTATATTAAAGAGAAATAGAAAGAAAGAGAGCAAGAAAGAAAAAATAGTTAACTACCAGTGTCACATTATAATGAGGTATCAAAATATGCTCATCTGACCTAAAGGCCTAAAACCCCGAAAGCTCTGCCCCTCGAATTCCACATAAGGCACTAAGGTGGGCCCTTAGATGCTCATCTGACGGTAAAACCCCTGATTTCTGGGGGCTCTGCCCCCTGGACCCCGTGCCAAATAGTGTCCTGCCAGTGTCACAAAATAATAAGGCATCAAAAAGTGCTTATCTGACCGTAATTAAACGCCTAAAACCCCCGAGATTCCTGGGGCTCTGCCCCCTGGACCCAACCAAGAGCCCTTAGGCGGGCCCCTTGATACTCATCTGACCGTAATTAAGTGCCTAAAACCCTTGAGCTTCCGGGGGCTCTGCCCCCTGAACCCCACGCCAATTAGTGACCTGCCAGTGTCACAATTAGGGGGGGGGGGGGCTGAATTTAGACAAGAATTAAGAGTCGAGGCCGGTACAATAAATCGTCTCCTTTCTCTAATGATTTAATGAAACGTAAAAAAACTCCCGCGCTTTGCGCGAACGAATCATCTTCTTTCTCTAATAATTTATTGAAATGTCAAAGCTTTCGCGCTTCGCTGAGGAGGGAGGGGAAAACTCGCCCCTCCCTGCACCCTCCCCCCCAATTACGTCACTGCTGGTCACCATTACGTACCAATATTTGGCTGGCATAATTTCAAATTTGCCCCCCCCCCCCCCCCCCCCCCCCCACTAAGAAATCCTGGATCCGCGCCTGCATGCAAACAACCAAAGGGTAAAATCACAGAAGTTTCAGAGCACATAATGTAATATAAATGACACAAAAGAAACAGTATTTGTAGTTTTTACTCTATATTCATCAGTCAAGAAATTTATTTTCTTTCAAATTTTCTCTTTTTTTGTTGTTGCATTTTCTATGTACATGTAATATGTTCTATAATTTCTATACAAATAAATTAATTGCTGTAGAAATCTTGTTGGAATGCTAGAAGGGGAAGCATGTACTTACTTCATTTGGGATACAATTAAAATCATTTAATATTTGGCCATCAACAAATCTAACTAATTACTCCCTTAAAGTAGTCACCCGAAGAATCAAAAGTGTTTTGAATGACGCAAAATTCATATCATGATGAAGGGGAATAACTTCTCTCTTCAAAATATGTTTGGGGCCCAAAGTAATTATCTCTCAAAAATGTTAATTTTGAGATCCAGATTGTCTGCCTTCAGCGGTCCTCCGTAGTGTCAAGATTTGTGACGTCTCATGCAAGACACAGCTAGCCACAAAGCAGCATTTTACGCCTTTCCATGATATTTATATGATTTTTCAGATAATTATTCGTGTTTTTCAAGAGAAAATCTTTCCAACCATATATAATTTGTCCATAATTATCATTTGTCTTGATTTTCTTTGGGTGACTACTTTAAATACTGACCCTCTTTTCTCAAATCATTTCCTGAAGAATCTTATAGGTCATGCTCATATCATATCATATCAAATGGTACACCAAAATGGCATGGATGAATTGGAATGTTGATGAATAGCTACAGACAATCTAACTCATTTGAGCAGGAGGGTAGAAATGCTTGTATCGATCCAAGTATAAGATCACTGGAATGATTTCTGCTGCTAATTGAAATATATGAATACATGTACACACACCAAGATGTCATGCTATACATTGTTAAATCACAAATAAACCAACAACAAAAAAACCACTAGAAAATGTACACATACATGTATATTAAATAGTCATGGACAGAGATGTTGTTTTCAAATTCCGATTTCAAGAAAAGAATGTTGGTGAGGAACACTTTAGAAGTTGCGTATTTTGTTTTCTACGAACTCAATGTACATGAGAGACACAACACACATATAAGCATAATATTAATGGCCTAAATTCACAAAGGAGTTTTATCTCAATCCATGGTTTAAAGCAGTAGTAATTTTACTGACATCCCTACCACTGCTGTTATGTATTTTCAATTGCGCCATCTTTCAGCGAAGGCGGTACATAGAGCCATTTTGACTTCCTGTACACAAGCACCATCATGTGCACCTGATCAGTTAGTGATGCATTGCAGGGCATGGATGTTGACACATTGGGAACTTGTGAGCAACAGGTGGCAGTATACGTTAATCTGAAGTACAGTCAGTAGAATAACCTGCCTTTTAACCTCCATAAAAATAACTAGCAGGCCTAGTACATGTATGTGCATGTCCTCATGTGCATATGATTACTGGTATCCGCATATTTCCCCCCATTTTTTTTACACCTTGGTAGGGGTTTAAACCTCGGCTTAGACCATGATTTAATTAATTAAACCTCCTTTGTGAATTCGGGCCAATAGGATAAATCACACAAACAGGTGCGAGTGGTCACCTGCATTTTATATATATATCGTCTGTTTGGAGCCAGAAGGGTGTTAATTCATACACTTAAGTGCAGAGTTAGTGCCCTTCTGACACTGAACTGCGCCCCGTTTTATAATGATTTGATATCAATCGCAACTTATTTCTGATTGATATCAATCGCAACTATGACATAAATAGATAAGAGACTGCAAACTTGCGATTGATTGGAGGACTTACGATTGATTTGGATCAATCATAACTCTTTATAAGACGGGGCCCAGATGATATGTATTGATTGAACAACTTTATTTTCTAAGGCAAGCTGAAACATGGCAGAGGCAGTCCTTCAAATCACAAAGATGAAATGACTTTTTATTGCTATTAGAATAAAACAGTACCTAATAGACTATCCTGAGGCACTCTGGTGACTAAGTTAATGCATATACATGGCAGAGACGGTCTTTCAAATCTAAATAATGAATAGACTTTTTATTGCTATTAGAATAAAACAGTACCTAATAGACCATCCTGAGGCACTCCAGGGAATAAGTTAATGCATTAACTGTCTACCCACCCACCCACCAACCCAGCAACAGAGTGAGAAGAGTTTGATGTCTTTGTTATACAGACCCAATGTGGAAGAAACTGTAGAAAATAAATCAATCTTTGATAAAATAATCTACAATAATTTTATTAAAAAAATTTTGCATTCATAAATGTAAGCAGATCATGTAGTGATTATGTGTGGTTTATAAGTGTTGGTATTGTTGTTGGACTTTACGATCCAAATGATATGTTTAAATGACACCAAAAAGTTCATCATCGATCTTCTGCCTGCGGACGTCGTTGGCTTTCAGTTTGGCTTGTAAATCAGCAATACTGTGAGATAGAAAAGACAGTATAGTTTATGAAATGGATTTGTTTTATATATATATATATATATATATATATATATTTATGTACAAAAAAATGAACAAAATATGCCATCTTCCATTGTTTTCATACAAGATACATGTAGCACTATAACTCAATATTCATTCCATGATATTCTTCATGTTTTGATGCAATATGAAGAAAAATGATGTATGTCATATAGGACACTTGGCATGGAATTGCCCTTTAAGTGGACCATATCTTAAAGTACAAGAAAAGTAGATGTGCTACTGTACTGTGCAAAGAACTTTTTCTCAAATCCATTTACTTCAATCATGACTCAACTCAAATGAAAGCAACTTTAACGTGAAAGGATTTACATTATTTTGTTTGCATTTTAACAAACCCTATTTAGAGGTATCAAATTTCACAATGACCAAGTGTAAAATGATTTTTATGCTTTTTGACAGTAAAGTAAAGTATTGGCACAAATATGGTGCTCTCCTGGTGTATGTATCACTGAATTAAAGTGATCTAAACAAATACAGGACGTTAGTGTAAAGACTAAAGGCTTTAACAAACTTACTATTCTGTAGGCTTGAGTTGTTGGTTGGTGCTCTTTGGTTGTGCCTTGCCTTGCGATGCTAGCTTAGCCCTCTGATTGGCTAGCTTCTGCTTTAGAGGCGTGGTCTCTGTGGAGCTTCTCTCTTTCTCTAGAGGAAAAGTAAACAAAAATATAATAAAACATAAACTATTTGATTTGCTGGAGAGAAGAGAATTTTTCTTCCTTTGTTTCTGTTTTGTTGTTTATTTCTTTTTGGGAGGTGGTCCATTTAATCCACAATATATACTCATTTACTGTGCATGTGCAAAAGGTTTCACATTTGTTTGTTTCTATTTTGGCGTTTATTTCTTTTTGGGAGGTGGTCCATTTAACCCACAATATATACTCAGTTACTGTGCATGTGCAAAGGGTTCCCCTTTAATACATGTACCTGTCTTACCCAAATATACTGATGAACGAACAAATTAAAATTAAATACAAAGTCGAGGAAGCAGGAAAACATGCACTTTTGTCCACTTGTTCTCTCAATGATCACACATTTCTACTTAATACCCAGGGGAAAGAATAATACTTTGTTATTCATCGTATACTGGATAGTTATGTATACGTTCTATTTCATAACTTTAAACCATGTAAAATGCATTATATTATTGAATGTTGAATTGTATATCTGATTTCTTGTTAAATAAATGACTGTTCTGTTGGAAATGAAAAATAAAACTGAAACTGAAACTGAAACTGTATAAAAAAAACAACATAAAGAATTTAGTTAAGTATAAATTGTGATTGTCGGTTTTTTACTAGTTATTCTCTGATGCTTTGATCATATCTTTCCTAATGCCTTCACATTCTTTGACCACATAAATAAATGATCATTATTATTAAAGATAAAGGCCAGTTATTGTCACGCGATTGCATTGTGAAAGAAACGTTGTGGAATCGATCAGAAAAGGTTGATCATCTAGCAAAAGTATTGGTGTGTACTGCAAGGTTCTGGAATCATCAAAATGATAAGAAATTTGGCCCAGTCATGGTAAAGTTATAAGCACTGTACACAGAAAGATGTATATGGGACTGCGCACACGTGCGCGACACATGCGTTTATCTCTCACACACCAATAGATAAACTAATTTACCAAATATATCAATTAGTAGGCAGTTTCCAGGCAAAATTGTTATCATCATGTAATTAGTCAAAACATATTCTTTCACATGATTGGTAATAAAGAGCTTCCATTTCATTTTTTGAAATTGGGGCGTTTCCAATACTGGTCTTTACCTTTAAAGAAACCCATTAATAAGTGTATCCAATGGTTTGTAGTAAATGATAAACTATACTGACCAGGAAGATTGGGAGATTTTGACTGCTGCCCTCCTTTCCTCCCTTTGTTCTTCTTCCCAGCAGCAGTCTGGCTGCTTCCTCCTTTTGAAAAGAGAGCTCTGCGGGTCGGTGAGGAGGTCTTCCTGAGTGGTATGCCACTTCTCCTGCGGGGAGACTTCGGCGAGCGAGGGACAGAATGAGAGGACGGTGAGCTGTTGGCAGTTTTGAGGGGGGTGGGAGGAGACGAGGAACCTGTAGGATCAGTAGATACAACGCTGCTATGGCTGGACATGACTAAAAAGTTACTATCAGAAAAATCGTCAACGTTCAACCAATTCTCATCCATGTCATTGACTGGTTGCGCAGTGCCCGTTTCGGCCACAATCTGTCTGTTCACAAAGTCCAGCATTGCTTGGAATGTTCCAGGATCCTCTCCCTCCTGACCATTTTCTGCTAGCCTCTCTATTCCAGATATGACCGAGCTGCGTTCTGTCACCTCGGACAGAGCATCCATTTTATCAACGAGCTTCACATTCGCTCGGTTGACCGTTTTCTCACTCCACTTTGACAGTTCAACCTGAGATCTGCTGTGACTCTCTTCAGTCCTACCACCTTCGTACGTATGAGCTATATTCACGGCATGTGCTCTCCTTTGAGATGAGGATGCATCACGAGTAAACAACATATCTACAGAATCTTTCTGTCCAGGAGACACCGATGCTGCATGATCAACGGTCGCCAACCTCTCCACTTGGTCCATCTTGTTCGGTCTCTGGGTGTCGAGAGACGGTCGTTCAGGATCCAGGTACTCGTAGCTCAGTCTCCCGGGGCTTCCTCCATATCTGTAGTGGCTAATGGGTGGTGATGGATGGTTGGATGTGCAGCTCATGTTTAGGGGGTTGGTGGATGGAGAGGTGTAGGGACTAGTAGGTAAGGAAGATATCCTCCGAGATGTACTCTGATGGGGATGGGGATCTAGCACGGCCTGAGAGCCAAACATGGCACGCTCGTAGCCGGACAACTTTGCCTTCAGGCGAGCTATCTCTGATTCCTACAAATATATAAACAAGATTGACTTCAATGCTATAGTTTCCTATTTTCAATAGAAGGCCCGTCTATTGTAAAAAATACTTTCAAATTCATGTTGAACTCTTACCATAACATCTCTGTCCGTTTCTCTCTTTATCTGTCTGTCTCTCTGTTTATCTGTCTGTCCGACTGTCTCTCCCCCCCCCCCCTTATATCTCTTTTCTCTCTCCTATCTTCATCTCTCTCTCTCTCTCACTCACCTTAATAACCATGGCTTCATTAGTAGCATTGATGACTTCCTTGGATGCTGTTAGATCAGCCTCCAAGCCAGCCACTTGTTTGGTGGTTTCGTGCAGGGCCTGGTTGGCTGCCTGTTCAGCTTCCTTCAGCTGAGCGATCTGGAGCCTGTGGGAGGAGTCTAACTGGTCATGAGAAGCCAGTAGCTGGGCATGGCTCTGCTGTAGCTCACTGACCTAAGGGAGATGAAGCGAATGAAGGCATAAGTGCCAATTGGATGGGTACAAAAAGTTAGGGATCTGCATACATGCCAACATTTGAAAATCAGAAATCTGTACAAATTATGCTATTTTAAAAAAAAAGAGGAACAATCCTAACTCTCCTATTCAATATTACAGACAAATTTGTACAGGAAGAGGAACACCTGCATTAAAATGATAATTATCTTCTCCCAAAAAGAGGAATGTTCCTCTTTAATCTGAACAGTTGGCATGTATGGATCTGTGGCAAAGTTCTACTTCACTTAAGACAGTGAGAGTGAATTTGAATATACAGAGAAACTACGCAGAGCCTGCCTGCAATACATGATGTAGCAGTTTCATATTCTTTTATAAAATAAACAAAATTATTTGGAGTATAATATACGAATGAATCCAGAATTATTCTCTTACATGGACCGTTTTTGTGTATGACCAGGACTTCAGTTCCAATACAATCTGAAATTAATTTCCTTGGCTTGAGCTTGGCATGAGCACTCAAGAAAATCTAAGGATGATGAACTGGATCAAGACAGTGAGTCTTGCAGATGAAATTTCTCTTCTATTACCATTTGTACCAATTTAGGGGCACCCTTTTTCACAAGGAACAGACAAAGACTAAAATTGTTTTTCCACAAACAAACTTTACGGCCTGAATTCACAACAGATTCATCTTAATCCATGGTTTAAAACTCTGTAACCATTGTTTCCATTTTTCCTCTTTCCAATGTATTGGCAAAACATGCATGTATAATTTCATGGCGGCAGTTTAATTCATGGTTAAAGCCATAGACTTAAGTAATTTCCTTCCGGAATTTGGGCCAAAGACACCCACCCACCTCATCTTCCTTCTGGTCCACCTCTGCATCTCTCAGCTTGGCAATCTGTTGGAGCTCTGAAGTGTACTGGGCCTGAAGGGCCAGCTCCTGAGCCCTTGTGGCCCCCACCTCCTCCGCTAGCCGTCCCAGGTCCTGGTCCTTCCTGCGACACATCTCCAGGGCATCCTGTAACTCACTTGTTAGGTTGTCCTGTACGATAATCATCAAAATAGCACTTTTGGCTTAGGGATAGCGCTAATTATATTTCACATACTAAGAATCTTGCTCTACGATTGGTCAAAAGAAAATCACGTTATGAAAGATAGTTCGCCCATTATTGATGGGGGAAGCAATAAGTTTGTTACACTGTGTAGATAGTACTACTATCTACACAGTGCAACGCACTTTCACTGAAGATTATCCAAAAGCGCACTAAAACAGGCGTAATTAAGCGCGCATTACCAATGAGCGCAATTAAAGGAAACACATGCGCGCACCGTACCCTCAAGGGGTTGGGTTAAACTTTTAACTTTTTCGGTGTGAATTTGGGCCTGGTGTCTTCCATGTAGATGCATACAGTACACGTCCTTTTCTTTTTTGTAGTTAAATTGTTTTAGATGTGGAATATAAAGCAAATAATCACCTTTTGGTTTCAGGCGATGGCAAACTATCACTTCCTCGTCGATCAGAATGTATACGCTATCTTTCCTCAGCTTCGCTTTGGAAAGATAGCTACATCCAGATTGCCTCGGAAGTGATAGTTTGTTCTATCACCTTCACCAACGGTAGTTATTTGCTTATTATTTGGCAATATCAATATGATACTAGTGTTCACATGATATGATACTACTAAACCCTGTCTAAGAACAAGTTTAATTCTGATTGATCGCAAGTCCAGAGCTGCAAATACTATCCTGTTGATATTAACCCTTACTGTACTGGGGGGGGGGGGGGGGGGGCCTGGGAGGCCCCCCCCTCGACATTTTCGAAGGTCGCGCAGCAACCGCTTGGAATTTTGAATTGTCGTTTCATGACTTTTTTCCCTCAAGTCTTGCGCACATTTTGATACCATTTTCGTCAAAATCGGATATACCTGTCAGGTGTTACATAACAATTAGTATGCGCATGTCATCAAAAAAGTGCTATAATTGCATAAATTCATGTACAAGCAGAAATGTGAAGATATGAATTGATATGAAATTGCTTTTATATGTTTCTCAGAGTAATTTGATGTATTCCAGAACAAAAGAATACATTAGAAATAAAACAATAGATATAATAAGAAAAAAAAACAATAAAATACATAAGAAAAGAAATAGTTGAAAATCGCATCAAATTTGCATAAATTATCATTATTAATTACATCAAATAACTATTTTGTGTTAGAAAAGAAGTTTCATATGGATAATGAGTTTCAACATTCAAAAAGTGCAGTCTGACAATTTTTGTAATGATTCTAGTCCCTAAATATAGTTCCAGATTTGATATTCATGAATGCGTAATTTGCGTATTCATAATTTATGCAAATTAACCTATGCATTTTCAAATATCATAAAAATAATGAAACCTCATGAATTTGAGATGAAGGAAACATTTATTCAATACATTTCCAAGATTCTTCACAAGTCTACGGACAAATATGTAGAGTTTTCTGTTAAATGCATAAAATTAGCATTTCGCATAATTAATTAGGCTATAACGACAAAAATTTGCATATTAGGAAAAAACTAATTATACCATCTTGTTCCTTACGTAAATATCTACAAATATGCAAATTTTCGCGTTCATCGGACATTTGACGGCCGAGATCATAGGGGGGGGGGCCTCCCAGGCCCCCCCCCCCCCCCCCCCCCCCCAGTCAGAGGGTGCTCAAAATAGCCCAGTACAGTAAGGGTTAAGGGTATAGGAATATCATAAAAATAGTTCTTTAGCAATGCAATAGTGATTAGGCACAAGTTTTGACCAATGAGAGACCTACAGTAAAACTCTGATACATGCTGGACATTCTAAATTTCCTTAACCCATATGCTTTTTTACTAAAACTATATGATAAGTACTGTAATTTTAATGTTTCTTTTTCAAGACATACATCACCATGATTCTAGTTGTTCAGGGGTAATAATGAGCACTAAAAAAAAAAGGATTCAGGAATTTTTTTTAGCATCTAACAACATTCCCCCCTTGTGAGTGAGACGATTGGGAAAAAATCAGGAACAATCGGGAAAAGAAGTGCAAAATCGGGAAAATAAGGGTAAAATCAGGAAGAAAAAAAATCGGAGGTAAAATAAAATCAGGAAAAAAAAAAAAAAAAACTGATTTAAATCGGGGTAATATCGTGCTTGGTTGTTACTGACCTGATTTCTCTGGGCCTGGGCTAGCTCTCTCTGTAGCTCAGTGATGTTGACATGAGCCTGCTGGGTCTGTTCCCTGCTTAGTCTAAGCTGCTGGCCCTGGTCTAGGTACTCCCTCTTACTCTCCTGCAGGTCCTCTGAGAGCTCCTCTACCCTCTGTGTTCAAACGTAATGAATGACGACTGTTAACCAACTCAAAACTGGTCTTAAGACACATTTATTCAAAATTGCTTTTGATGATTAACTTACTCTGTTCACATTGATGTGTATTTCATATCTATTGAAATTTGTAGGTTTATTTGCACTTTTTTGTTTTGTTTAATATGTAATTGTTTATCAGTCTATTTTGTTTGTTATAGCCCTTAGAGACTTTGGTGGTAAGCATTTTATAAGCAACGTTGTAATTATTATTTATGTTATCTTTGAAGGTTTCCATGGTAATGATAGATTTGAGCAAGGTTTGCGTTTACACCACATATTCTTTTTGATGGGGTTATTAGCCCTGAGGACTAAATAAAACGAGGACTACAATGGTAGGAATCCTCCCTAAGGAGTGGAGATGGTGCACACTTGTGTGCCAGCTTGAAATCCATTCAACAGGGGTAATAGTGATAATATCGCGAAGTACACTGCGAAGTACACTGAAGTATTTGTGCAATACGCTATTTATAAATATATAAAATATTATTTGTTATACTTGTAGTTGGCGCAGTAGAAAGACACCTTAAATCATGTTCTGGGCCCTCTTTCAGAAAAATTATCACCAATTACAAGCGGCAATGATTAACCCTTACTGTACTGGGCTATTTTGAGCACCCTCTGACTGGGGTGGGGGGCCTGGGAGGCCCCCCCCCCCTATGATCTCGGCCGTCGAATGTCCGATGAACACGAAAATTTGCATATTTGTAGATATTTACGTTAGGAACAAGATGGTATAATTAGTTTTTTCCTAATTTCCTAATATGCAAATTTTTCTCGTTATAGCCTAATTAATTATGCAAAATGCTAATTTTATGCATTTTACAGAAAACTCTACATATTTGTCCGTAGACTTGTGAAGAAATCTTGAAAATGTATTGAATAAATGTTTCCTTCATCTCAAATTCATGAGGTTTCATTATTTTTATGATATTTGAAAATGCATAGGTTAATTTGCATAAATTATGAATACGAAAATTACGCATTCATGAATATCGAATCTGGAACTATATTTAGGGAACTAGAATCATTACAAGAATTGTCAGACTCCACTTTTTGAATGTTGAAACTCATTATTCATATGAAACTTCTTTTCTAACACAAAATAGTTATTTGATGTAATTAATAATGATAATTTATGCAAATTTGATGCGATTTTCTTATGTATTTTATTGTTTTTTATTTCTTATTATATCTATCGTTTTATTTCTAATGTATTCTTTTGTTCTGGAATACATCAAGTTACTCTGAGAAACATATAAAAGCAATTTGATATCAATTCATATCTTCACATTTCTGCTTGTACGTGAATATATGCAATAAAAGCACTTTTTTGATGACATGCGCATACTAATTGTTATGTAATACCTTACAGCTATATCCGATTTTGACGAAAATGGTTATCAAAATGTGCGCAAGACTTGAGGGAAAAAAGTCATGAAACGACAATTCAAAATTCCAAGCGGTTGCGGCGCGACCTTCGAAAATGTCGAGGGGGGGGCCTCCCAGGCCGCCCCCCCCCCCCAGTACAGTAAGGGTTAATAGAAGATATGAAATCATTGCTTTTGCTTGGCTATGGGAAACTTTTTTACAAATATTTGAATTGAATTGATATTAAATGTTGAAATATCAATCAAATCAATATTTAGATCAATTCTAGGCTTGATGAAACACAGACTGTTACCGGTACTCACTTTCTCGATTTCTTTGATAGCACTGGATTTGAGTGTGATTTCATCAGTTTGTCTTTGCAGTGACTGTTCCAAGTCTTGAACCAGAAGCCTCTTCGTATGGTTCTCCTTGGTTTTTTTCTCCAGATCCTCTTCTAAACCAAAGACCTAAATGGCGAAAACAGAGAGTAGCGACATGGTGGATAATTCATTTCATATATAAATTGCACACGTTACATAGTTCTACATACAAAAGCTAAACAGGGTTTTCTATCAGCTGAAAAGCATTGATGCAGAGATGCCAATAGACCGAGTATCCTAAAAAATCAGATTTTGGAGATAAAAATCAGATTTTCACGAAAACTCGACACTACCACTGGCGCGTTGGCCCTGGGCCAGTAAAAATTCAGTAAAATTTTTATACTGATAAGAACGGTCAAATAATTTTTTGTTGTTCTTTCATTAAGATTTAATGAGAAAATTGTAAAGCAAAGTTTTTGTTGGGGTTGCGGGGGTTTACTTGTACATGTTTGTACATTTTTTTTTTGTTGAAAAATGAAAAATCGTAATTTAAGAGGTGATATCGTATCATCGTATTTCACTCTTATAATCGTACAAAATATCATTTAGTCATACTGGTTGGCATCTCTGCTTTAGGTATGTCTTTGCAGTGTTTGTTCTGGACGAGTAGTGTCTTTATCTAGTTCTCTTTGTTTCTCAAGCTTCTCGAGAAGCTTAGAGATCTGAAGAAGAAGGGGAAAAAATATTAAACAGAGGTCCCTAGATAATTTATTGGGAGATAACAAGGTTAAAAACTATTATTTAAAGTTGGATATTCCTTTTAAAATATGACAATAAATTGTGTACTATGCATTTACATTCAGCAAATGGAGTCGACACATTGCAAAATCTTTATTTGGGGTTACATATTTGACTGAATACTGGGCCAGGGATGTAGTAGCATACCACCATACCTGCTGCTTGCTCTGTTTAAGTTGATATTGGGCTTTGTTGAGACTGCTTTCTAGCTCCAGGATCTCTCTCTCCATCTCACTCTGTCTTTCCTTCACTGTCACATCCAACTGGCTCACCTAAACAGACAAGACACAAGAAGCACTTTGAGCATGTTTATATAAAGGCGCTATATAAATATTAATATGTATGTATGTATGTAAGGTCCTTATAACTCGGTGCCATTCTTTCTTTTTTCTTCACACAAATTATTCATGAACTCAGCATTTGCTGACAACAAAAATGAAATTTCTTCTTGCAAGCATATGCTTCCCCATGACTAGAAATTACTTTCTTGAATAGAAACATTTTGCTTTCAAATGTTGGCATCGTTTTCTTTTCATGGCCATAAGATAACGTACACTTTACTCTGATTACAACCTTAAAACAAACAAGCAACAACAAAAAAAAGAAAAATAAACAATTCAATCAACCACAAAATGTACAGTTAGTCACATTTAAAACAGTACGATCACACAATTCTCTCTGTGGCAAATTTGGAAAGAGTACAGGGATGGAAATTCTTATGACTATAATGATGCCTTGGAGAATGTAAGATTGTTCAAGCTCTGCAAATTACAGAGCCTCATTGCTCATAATGGATAGAATTCTTTTTCTTCTCAACAAAATCCTTTGCCAGAGCAACTGCTAGATTTATAGATATGCCTAATAGCTTTCTGACATGTAGAGGGCAATTATCTGTTAGAAAAATTGACAGGAAAGCACTTTCTGCCCAACTGATCATACAGTAAGCACTCAAAAGCAAAAGATATTTTTTGCTATGACACCAAACCACTCTCCATTATTTTTTGATAATTAAATCCTTTTCTCACCAGAGCAGATCTCTGTAGCAGCTCTCTTTGGCTTGTTCTCAGTGCTAGATCTATCTCTGCCACATCACGTTCCTTACTCCTCATCTCATCCTGGCTCTTCCTACAGGTAAAACAAATACAAAAGGTGCTAGATCTATCTCTTTTCATAATTATTACATATTTCGCATCACCCATGCCTCGGAGGGAAAAAGCGAACGGAATCACTGTGACCCTCAGGTCTCTCCTGGGATTGTGCAGGTGGACCACTTCACCGGGGTTTCCCTCTACTCTTATGCGAATAGAGCAGTTGATTCTTAAGAAAATTTCTGCGGTCATATCAGATGATCCTTGCAAAATGTTGTGTACCGTGTGACAGACATACATAGGACTTATATTTCTTCAGGAATGATCCGTGTTGTTACTTACACTAAGTCTTTTTTCTTAAGTTTGCATTGAAACAGCACTGAGAAAATTCTTGCTTTTTGAGATTTCAAGTCAAAATATGAATTCATATTAACATAATCCACCATACCTGAGAGACTCGTTGAGCTCCTGCACTCTCTCCTGCTTGAGCTTGTTCTCCGCCTTGCTTCTCTGCAGGAGCCTATGGAGCTCTCCCAGCTGGGTGGCAGCGGCCCTCAGATCCTCCTGGGCTTGCTGGAGCTCTGTGTCCAGGTGGCGACAGTGCTCCTTGGATGCCTTGGATTCCTCCTGGGTCCTCTCTAGCACCTCCTCCAGTTCTTTCACTGCAGAGACCAGTTTGGGTAGATGAATTATGGTTATGAAAAATTGTTATTAATGTATCAATACATAGATTGAATGAAAGTTCCATATTGTATGCAAAATCTATTACATGTACATGCTCAGATATTCATGTACATATGCTCAGCTATTCATGTATCAATATTAACTTTTTTTTTTACTCTCGACCATTTTTTTTTATTTCTGAAGAGTTACTTGGAAAAATATAGTAAAGTTTTAATCGCTTCATTTCTTTAAATAACTTTTACATCCAAACTGATGAAGAGATTCAAAGAATAATCTGTCTAAATACATCTTTTGATCTGTAATAGATATTTGAACAAGAATGATAAAATATCTTGCCCCCTAACAAATGACTATGTCTGTCTGTTCCACTGTCTGTTATCATGTAGCTGATGAGCTCACCTGTACTCTGCGCTTCTTCTAACTGGACCTTGTTGGCATGGAGCTCTTTCTCCAGCTGAGAGGTCTTCTCTGCCTGACTGTCTCTGTCCTGACGGGTGCCTCTCAGCATCTCCTCCAGGTCAGTCACCTTGCTCCGTGACTGCACCAGCTCAGAATGGGAGGAGCTGCACACATGAAAAACAAGCATACAAGCTAGTAATAATAATAATAATATTCCGCTTTTATATAGCGCTTAATACATCTACGATGTCTCGAAGCACTATATACAGATACACTATTATCCCGGTCAATGGATTCAATACTTGCCTGCACATTTTGTGCACAATCTCCACTCCCTGGCGAGCATTCCAGCCAGGCGTTACTTGATGCTCAAAAAACTGTTTGACCAACAATGACGGTCGCATCCTACCGGATACCCATTTAACACCTGGGTGGAGAATAGCAAGTGCAGGTTAATATCTTGCCAAAGGATATCAGTGTCGTGTAGGGATTCGAACCCTCGACCTTCACATCTTCTGTCAAGCGCCTTAAACCACTCGGCCACGACACTCCTAAGCTAAATCACTGAAGATGTTCATCTGATTGACAGGATGATGAGCCCTTTCATATATTGGTGAAGGCTCTGGACTCTCATACGAGAGGTCCAGGGTTCGATCCTCGCTCAGTACTTTATCCATGGACAAGGTGTTTTGCCCACATTTGTCCCTCTCTACCCAGGTGTATTAAATGGGTACCTGGCAATGCTGTGGTAATAATAATTGCAGAGCTTGCAGGAAGAGCAGTTTTTATATTGATGTGGCTACCTTGGGTAAATAAGACCAAATTATTATCATCATCATTATCATTATAAACTTGACAATCGGTGGAATACTTGCAGCACGGCAAGTGAAAGCTTATCGAAACAGAGAAGTTTCCACTGAATGTGAAAGAACTGATTTTCAAAAGCTAGGGTAATGGTGGTGTTTTGTAAATGCCTTGAGCGTCCCGAAGGATGGATGTGTCTGCAATATACAAGTATCTGACAGCAGTATAGCAAAAGATTTATAGCGCCCTGCTACAACAAAGGCCTCGTTCAAAACCACAGCGTTAACCCATTGCTTACCGGAACCTGGTGGTCTCTGTGTTAAGTCTATGGGAATTAGATACTTCAGTAGTCAACGGGTTAAGTGTAATACGCTTCACATTTCTGTCTGTTACAAAACAGAGATGGCTAAATACGCGCATTTGCCATTCACTTGCACGTAAAAAAAAAAAAAATTGGTGACTCTTTGCGGCTGTTTACGGCGTTATATCCGAGTGAAGATTTCTAGTGTAAAGGTATTCTCACCTGAGTTCTTGCTTATACTGTGCGAGTTGGTGGTTCCTCTCCTCTAGGTCCATGCAGGCTTGATGAAGCTTCTTCTCCATGAGCTGAGCCTCCTGAGCTGATGTAGACCTCAACTGGCTCAACTCCTTGGACAGATTGGACACCTAAACGGATCATAAAGTGGATGACAACAACGCCAACGGAAGAGGAGGAGGAAAAGGATGAGGAGGAAGAGGATGAGGAAGAGGATGAGGAGGAAGAGGAAGAGGAGGAAGAGGAAGAGGATGAAGAGGAAGAGGAAGAGGAGGAGGATGAGGAGGATGAGGAGGAAGAGGAAGAGGATGAGGAGGAAGAGGATGATGAGAAGGATGAGAAGGAAGAGGAAGAGGAGGAGGATGAGAAGAGGAAGAGGATGAGGAGGAGGATGAAGAGGAAGAGGATGAGGAGGAGGAGGAGGAGGAGAAATAGGAGGAAGAGGAGGAGGAAGAGGAAGAAGAGGAGAAATAGGAGGAAGAGGAAGAGTAGGAGGAAGAGGAAGAAGAGGAAGAGGGGAGGATTAGAACATGATATGAGTCGTTGTAGCTAAATTATTCAATATCTCTAAACTCTGTTCTCTATGGATGGAGGCAAGAAAGACAATCTGGATGATAACCTGTTGTTCTAGCTGCATCTCTTTATTTTCAAGGTCAGATATTCTCTCTGCACTCTCCCCCTTCACTTTTTCCTTCATCTCTCATTCAACCTTTGTGTTCCAATCACTATACTCTAAGAGTAGACATGAAAGACTATAAGGACAATTACCTGTTGTTCTAGTTGTGCCTCCCTATCTTCCAGCTCAGACATTCTCTCTGTACTCTGCTGCAGCATCTGTTGTCTTTCTCTCAAGGCTTGCTCCAGATCCGCCACCTTGATCCCTCGCTCCTCCGTCTCCACGGTGGCCTTCTTCCACCTCTCCTCAAGATCTGCAATCTGCAAATAAATATACCAGCAAAGAGTTACGATTGATCCAAATCAATCCTAAGTCTTCCAATCAATCGCAAGTTTGCAGTCTCCTATCTCTTATGTACATAGTTGCGATTGATATCAATCACAAATAAGTTCTGATTGATATCACCTCTTTGTAAGACGGGGCCCAGGGGTCACGGCTATGATGACGTTTGGTAGGTACTTTTACAACTATTCTTTCTAACTAGCATATTTATATATCTATATCTGCATCTGCTGTGTGCCCATGCCTTTAGCCATAATGCATGGCCGTCCAGAGAATTTGTTTATGTTGGGGACCGGGGTAAAATGCAATAAATTATTGAAAATTTATTGCATTTTCTGTTTTTTAATTTTTTTTTATGGAAACTGCCCCCTACCCTAGCCCCCGCTGCGTACAGTCATGGTTCAGTGACAAAGCAATGGCCTCGTAACTGTGAGGCCCTAGGATAAAAACCGTGTCGATGTGCTATATTACTGCCCTTTTGTGGGGCATTAATCCTCATTACTGTCTTTTATGACTTAAGGGCATAGGTCCCCTAGTTGATAAGCATAGTAGCATACACATGCTTTAACAGTCACGCAAAACACACATCGGCAAATCATTATTCAATAAAATCTGAGAATGGATACTATTATCTAATCTATTATTTTTAAAATAATTCCATAAATTGGGATAAAAAAAAAGATATTCCACCTTTATGAGCGACAGTGTATATTGTTAATAACACATCATATTTGTGTACACCCCCAATACCGATGTTCAACTGGAATGGGAGGCTCATCGGCCATTATGAAAAACATTGCTATCCTTTGGCATGACTAAATTAGGTTGTATAACAGCATGCAGAAGACAATTCTTTTTAAATACCCTCAGAATATAAGAAGTGGGAACTTATTTCTTGTTGAATGAATATGCAATCCTTTTACAATTCAAGAAGATAAAACTCTTCTGCAGCTTATGAAGTAAGACAGGAAAGTAGGGTGTGGATCAACCTTAAGAGGGACCCTACAGACTTCCTTTGAAGGAAGCGTCCAACTGATGGCAGCACATCGCTGTCCATGTTTTTTAACAGCACATCACTGTTTATGTATACATTTTGCACCTGGATTGATGCCTACACACATATTGGACATGGCACACACCACACTGCAGTGCGTAATCTTTGTTGCATCAAGAAGCATTTAACGAGGAAGAAGAAGAGGAAAAAAGACGAACCTCTCTGTCCTTGAAGGCCCTCTCTTGGTGGTGTTTCTTGTTGACCTCCTCTAACTGTGTGATGTACATGTTGAGTTCTTGCTTACATACTTCCAGGGCAGACTCCAGGTGGGCGAGTCTCAGGGTTCCCTCATCGGCCGTGCTCTGGAGGGTGTTCCAAAGCTTCTGGTTCTCCACGTCCTTATTAACTAACTCCTAAATTTAAAAAAAACACAAAAACAAATGACAAATACTTATGATATTGAGATTTAATATGTCATACTTGATGGTGTAATCCCTTTAGCACCCCGCTCAGGAAGCTGTACTGGGATGGTAGGTGAGGCAAGTAGCTGCAAGGAGTACCATCAAGTTCATGGGAGCGTTTTCTACAAAATAGTTTCGTACTTTCCAGAAGTAAGATTGTAGAACAACCTTACCTTGAATTTTTCACCTAATAGAAATTAAACATACAGTTTGTGTCTTCTTGGGTATTCTTGCCCCAACAATAAAAATAAATTAGGTCTACAAAGTGTCAACATTGAGGGTTTCTATCCACATTTCAACTGAGATAATTAATGTCAATGACAGCACTATAAACAAGAGTAAGATTCTGATTTAAGAATAGAAAAGATAACTCCTGAAAAAATAGGATTTGTATCTTACCTTTTGACTTTCAGCCAGATTGTTCTTGATTTTCATCAGCTGTTCTTCTTTCTGGCTTGCCTCCCTCTGAAGTTTAGTTCTATCTCCTTGCAGTGAAAGCATCTCTTGTGATTGCTGTTCCACCTTTCGTTGCATCTGGTGAAAATGTCAAAGTTCTTAAATCAAATGACCAGCGTTGGGTTCACTGCACCCTAGACAATTCCTTGTGTGTGTGCAGCAAATGGATACACAATCAGCAAGTGTTCATTGTTTGACAACACATTTCAGCCTGTATATCATCAGGTTTAAATTTCTTCACTTATTTCAATACAAAAATGGAAACAAATAAATATATAAATATGCTGGACTTGTGTTCGCCTCCTTCTGCAGGGCACACACAACATATTGAAAATGAGAAGTCTTTTACCTTTAGTTTGCCCATTTACTAGAATCTATGAGACATGTACATCAATGGACATCAATCAAGCAGAGTGAAATTACTATGTCCTGACACGGTGGCTGTCTGTTACTTTTTGTGTAAAATGTAGACTGAGCAATGGAAATGATGAGAATAGCGACATACCAGATCAAGTTGATGGTGTAGTTCTTGACACTGCTCTCTGTTCACTCTCTTGGTCTCCTCCATGCGAGAAGACTGTAGCTCATCGGATGATGCCTTCTTCAGCAGTTCATTCTGCCAAAAAATATTAATAAATAACAATAAATACATCACTTCAGGGTCTCCTAAAACCTAAAACCAAGTTAATAGTTAGATTCTGCTCATTAGCTGATGTTTCAGTGGTGTCATGTTGTGGCGTAATGGATCTATCACTTGAATCTAATTCAGTTTGAATTCCTGAATGGCACTTATGTTATTTATCTGTTAATTACTGACGCAAAGGCTTTCGAAAGGGTAACTCAAGCAAATTAAGTCAGCCAGCTTACTTTGGTGTCAGCTAGCTGTGTTGATGTCACATCAAGTTCCCTCTGTAGCTGGTCTATTTTAGCGACATGGACTGAGAAGGTTGAAGTCTTGTCTTCCAGTTGTGTCTCCAGTGCAGACAACTTGCCCTTGGCCTTCTTCAACTAATTAGGAGAGAGACAGAAGAGTGATTAGTATACAAATAATACACAGCGGTGAGAGCATTTTGGAGGTACCCTTGGAACAGTCTCACACGCCCGAGGCGGAAGCCGAGGGTGTTTGGACTGTTTCGAAGGTACCAAGTATGAGTAATTTTTAAGATTATGTTTTATTGTTATGTAAAATTAAGTTTTATAGCATGATTTTACTAATGACCGGTCATCATCCAGATTACGCAAAAGGCAAAATAAATGCCTGGTCACGTGTATGCTTTCAACCAATCATTTGATTAGGATCCGCGTCATGATCTTATAATAATCAAAAGATGCTAGCCAAAGGTATCATTCTGGGGGCTATTAACATTACTGTATCTCAAGGGCAGACATCTTGCCCTTGGCCTTCTTCAGCTTATACAAGAGAGACAAAAGGGTTATTAGTAATCGTAAGATGCTATCCAAAGGTGTCATTCAGGGAGCTTTCTTTTACAAGACTGTGTCTGAGGACCTTTCCATACGCTGGAATACAGGAGCTAACCACTTCCAGTACGCAATGGGTTAAAAACAAAATTTATTGTTGGTTGGTATCTGTGTGATATAATAATGTGTCAGGGGTATTACCTCCTTCTCCAAGTTGATAACACGACTAGACTTCTCTTGAATCTCTGTGTGAAGGTGAGTGAGTTGATCATCTCGTAATAACATGCGTGATTGAAGAGACGATTGGCCTGATTCAGTATCGGCCAGCTTCTGCTTGAGACGGCTGTTTTCATTCGTCACTTTGGTGGCTTCAGATTTCAGGCAGCCAATCACCTTCTCCAGTTCAAGCGCCTTCCTTTCCTCTGCAAGAAATTTGAATGGCAAAGTTTCTAACTAATTTCTAACTTCATAATCTTCCAAGAGCACACCACTTTATAATTTCAAAATGAAAATATGTGGTGCTGAGAGAAACTTGTGTGATTGTGTACAATTCTCATACTATCTGATGTTTGCATGACAGGTCAACCTTGATTCTTTATTGAGTTCTTGTCTAAAATTTTGATGCCAAAACCTTCATCATTTATATGCTGTAATCCTTGGAAATAATCCTCCTGATCCTTTAAAAATATCCTTTCCTATCGCTAAGTATGGAAACTGTCGGTTTAATAGATGACATAGCAGTATTGGCTGGGGGACATGTTCGGTAATGGAGCAGATATACGGGGTACTTGTCCTAACTGATAGTTTCTTGGGGCTTAGCTCTTGAGGGTAGTTATCCAGAGGGCTGTTAAACTTGTTGTTTTTGTAGTTCTAAGAGGTCACTATACATGAGAATGTAAGCTACTAACAAAACAGTTTTTTCACAACTAGAATTCCTTGGTGTGTCCCTAGACTAATAGAAGTAACACTATTGCTCACATCCTATAGGATCTCAGACAGTGTTTTTCTACTTATTTGATTCCTTCCATCATCCTACCAATATATCCATCCATCTATCCCTCCATCTATTCATCACCCATTCATTCATCCATCCATCCATCCATCCATCCATCCATCCATCCACCCACCCACTTATCCATCCATCCATCCATCCACCAATCCATCCATCCATCTCAAAGTGATACTAACCCAACTTGCTCTTTTCCATCAGAACCGCTAGCTGTGCCCTTAGACTTGTAGGACTCCTACTGGTGCTCACACCCTGTACGGATGACAGGCTGGGTTGGTGATCCGGGAATTGAGAGGACCTGAAATGCTGGATCTCCACTTCTTTCATTGCTAGCTGGTACCTGTGCAAGAAGTTATTAGGAGGAGCCGAGATCATAAGTGTCTCTATGGGATGTGCTTAACTTTGAATCCTGCCAGTCACTTCTTACAACCAGACATTTTCACATTCATGGTATTTTCGCTAAACTAACAATACTAATATGAATGTTACATGCTGCAAAATGATTACACCACATCTACTAAGTGCCAGAAGCCAGAAACTAGACGCACATGGTATACATGACCCCAAATATCCACAGATCTTTTAAATATGGAGAAGTCACACTTTGTGCATTTTATTTTTAGAACAATCACTGCTTAAGTCATGGATGTGCTTTTTATCTTTGTTTGCCCTAGAAGAATACTTCTACCTGTGTTTCATAGAATGTACCATCGATGCATACATGAATAATGATTATATAACTCATGTTTCCTAGTATTTGTCTCAGTGGGTTTTTATGAAAGTACATACCTGAGCTCAGACACTATGGTCTGACTGTTGGTAGATGTTATCTCCATATCAGTTTCAAAGCCAGAATCTCTGGTCGGACCAGCAGATTGTGCAGAGACCAGATCATTGAAGGACTGCCTCTCACTGGAATTTCCCCCTTTGTAACCCTACAGGAAACAAGAATGACATTAACAAATCACACACATTACATAACTTATTATTAGCAAAGAAAAGAAATTAGATAAACACAGCTCCCCTACACTGCAACAAATACTAATCAAACACAGAATGACGTAAAATCGGCAAACAAACCACTAACATCTCAAACATCACCTTCATGACCTGCCCAAATCAATCAAAATGTCTTTTATTTCATCATCATGCAATAAAGTTTAATAGTAACTACTGATTTCAATATTTTGGGACATTGCTGGGGTATTTTGGAATTGAGTATATCTATTTCAGACTTCCACAATCATCGTAAAATACAACATCCCTTAATCATCCCCATACCCCTATATTTCTAAGGATGCTTTTTCTAATAATACTTCTTAATTGGTTTCACACAATTAAACCACTCTGGGGAACACCTTGGCTTATGATGACCACTAACCAGGACATAAAGACAACCAGTCTACTGTATTCCTATTTCCCTCAAGTCATCTTTCTACATTGGCTTCACTCATAATCCATACCTCTCTTGCAGCACTCTTAGCAACCATGCCTTCCAGCTTCTGCAGCTGTTCACGGCTGTTCTCGATGTCACCCTGACACTCTGTGAGCCGCTCACTCTGCCTTGCAGTCAGCTCAGTAAGCTCCTTGTTCTCCCGGTCTCGGGTGAGGAGTGCCGACTCCAGGTCCTGGATCCTGGTGACGTGCTCCTGCGCCTCCCGCCTGGAGCCGCTGAGGGCAGTCTCCGTCTGGCTCAGCCTGTTGTTGGACTCCCTCAGGGTTCTGTTCATGGTGTGGTGAAGAAGAGAGACAGACAGAGGGGCAAGATGGGAGATATAGATTGGGGGGGGGGTGGTATCGAGAGGGGCATGAGAGAAGGGGAGAGAAAAGAGGTAAAAGAGAAAGAAAGAGAGAGGGTTGTGGTGAGGGAAGGAGAAAATATATCAGCATGGAAAGAGACAGAGGAAAGCAGGAATTTAGAGAGAGAAAGATAAAAATCAATACAATATACTCAACTCACACCAACCAGCTAACCCAACTCTATGAAATGCAACTCCAGCTGTGCTAAACATAGACGTAGATACAAGTTACCTTTACATTAAAAGGCTGGAGCATAACTCATTTTATACAACAACGACTTGAATTCTGATAGACTTGGTTCATTCAACAGAGAAATGATTAAGCCTTTTCAGGCTTTGCAATAAAGAACATAACAAAAGAAATCCTGAGTTTTCTTAAGGATGTTCTGCAGTAATGTATGTGTGCACCTCAGCTGCACAGGGCAAGCTGGTTGTGTACATGTATTTACAATAAGGCAGGCGTTTCAATACTGCAGAGCCGGGAGTGGCAAAGGTGACAGATACGAACGCTGTACAAGAACCCACTATTATTTTTCTTATGATTTCCAATGGAAAAACCAGGAACTCACCTGATCTCATCTCTGGCGTCCTGTAGGTCTTCCTCCAGGGATGTGGCCCTCTCTAGTAACTCCTCCCTCTCACGATCACAGTGCTCCAGACTGCCTCTCAGGTGCTCCTCAGAAGCTGCCAACTGCAGGGAGAAATAAATAATCATAATAATAACAACAGCAGCAGCAGCAACAATATCAATAAAATAACACTAACAATAAATAAAATAATAAATATAAAAATAATAATACTAATAATGATAGTATTCTGGGTTTATACAGTGCTCAATACATTGTAACAGTGAAATTAGTTTGGAGTTAAAGAAAATATTTTATGCTTGAAATTTTTTTATAGCTGCACATTCAAAAAAAAAAAAAATCTGAAATGTGGACTCCCATATTTTTCCTCTTCTGGTGTACTCTAAGACTATTTTTTTTTTAAATTTCAGAGGCATGAAAAGGCAACAAACATAGTCTACAACAACTCCAAACAACAAAATAATCCCAGGTATGCATGTCTTTTCATATTTGATTGCCCAAAACTTGAAAAACTTAAGCCCTTTTTTGCCAATTTGCTATTTGATTTTCAGATCATTTGTCATTGATCGGCGATCAAACTTTATCTTGTTTTTTTTTGTAAAATCAGAAAGAATCAGCCCCGATTCGATTATCGATCAATTGTTATACCATTATTAGTTGAGCCTGAGTGTCCGATCTGTAATTGTGAAGCTCTTCACTCAGCTCTTCTAGTTTCCTTGCCGTTTCATTTCTCTGCATCTCCATTCTGTGGAGGAGAATGGTGGAATTAAGATGAGCAAGGTAAATAAAACATCTCGGCTGCAAGAGAGTTCCAAATATTCTATCTTGGGATGCCGTGCACATGGAAATTTATGACTGCATGTCGGTAAACGATACCCATATCAAAACTTTAACTCATTGGTTGCTTTCTTCGCCTCCCTGTATGGTTTCTCCATAGGCACACGTGCAACTTCGCCCAAAACAATGGGCCCCAATTGAAGGAAGGATTGCTCTGGGCAACACAATGGCCTTGCAAAATAACCCATTTCTGGTCTTCATTAGCTCCACAACAAGCCTTTTAATGTTGGCATAATATTGTACTGGAATCTTTGGTATATCTATCCAATGTGTTTTTGTGTGTGGCATATAAAGAGTTAATCTGTTTCATCCATATCGCTGCTTATTCCAACTGATAAAAAGTAAGCCCAAATCATCTCAAAACAATTCTTCATTCATTTAGAATAATTCAACAAAAATTTATGACTTCTGTAATATTATGCTGTCAAATAACTTCTGTATTCTTTATTTAGTGCAAGGTGTATATGAATTTCCTTGGTACAGTATAATATTTTTCCCTCAAAGATAAAGTAATAGTACACATACATGCCACAACATTTCATACATAGGTCCATGAAACGCTTTTTATTTCATTTTCAAACTTACTTTGTGATTACTTTAATAGAGATTTGAAATAAGATTCATGTACACATTCTGTAATTCAGGAATAATGATTCAATAGGAAAGTCTTCAACTGTGTAATGTTATACTTGACCAGGGCTGAGTTACAATAACTGTTTAATACAAGCTACTAAAAACAATGGTGTTTCATTGGCTGAGAGCAAATTTGTCATAGAAATTTAGCATTTGTTATAGATAACAAGTTTTATAAAACAGGACCTAGATCATCTTACCTGTCTCTCAGCTTTTGTTCTTCCAGCAGCTCGGAACGGATCTTCTTCATATCCTGGCGATGACTCTGAATGAAAGACTCCTTGTCTGATAATTGCCTCCCGCTCTCATCCAGACTCTCCTCTGCCAATCTGCAAAGGGAACCAATATCAATTCTAAGGCCTCTAACATGCACTATTGGTCCCCTCAAAATTTGTGGCAGAAAACGAAGAACTATCTTTGTGTGTGAATGAATGGAAAGAGGGAGTGATAAAAGGTAGCCACAGGGCCCCCTCAGCACATGTGTTTATTTGTGGGTCATGAAATAAAAGTGTGAAGTGCACTCAAATGCATTTCATGTTGCTACAGTAGTATATTTAGCCCTTATGGCACATTATGTGTAAACTAAACTTTAGCATTAACTTCAAAAGCATTTCACAGCATTGTCACAGCCCATAATTGGTGTCCCCTATATTCTTGGACGGGTTAGTCTGAAATATATTTTCAATTGTTCATAATACCTTTAAAATGCACTTTTTCAAGTCATCAATTTTATTTGAGAGTGAAAATAGTACCGGTATGCACATATGGACAAGAAGTATCTTTCTTCTCTTTCTCTTTATTCCTTTAATTTGACACTAAAAATGGTGTGAACTTATTGACTAAAAGTCTCTTTATTTCTCTTTCTTTCTTTTAATTGAGAGTAATAATGGTATGCACATATGGACAAAAAGTCTCTTTCTTTCTCTTTCTCTCTTTTATTTGAGAGTAATAATGGTATGCACATATGTACAAAAATTCTCTTTTTATCTCTTTCTCTCTCTATCTCTCTCTCTCTTTCTTTCATTCTTCCTGTCTTTCTTTTCTCTCTCTCTCTCTCTTTCTCTCCCACACCTGAGAGCAGAGCCGTTGACCTTGAGTTCTGTCTTCAGAGAATCACACTTCTTCTTGAGGCTTGCAACGGTTGACCTACTCCCATCCATCTCAATGCCCAGCATCTTCAGCTAAAAAAAATGACAGTTTTTTGTTATTGAGTTGAATTTCTTTATTGTCATGCAAAAAATAAAATGAAGGCATAAAAATCGTCTTATGACTCACATTTGTATAAAATATAACAATACATTAACATATGATAGACAAATAACTACAAATAACAGAAATAATAATATATAAAATAAATAACAATGTAATAAAATCTAATCTCTCTGTTGAGAGCCAGAGGAATTATTTGATTATTTGTACTCCCCAGGCTCCCAACAGACAATACCAAGTTAAATATATTCTAGAAAATGGTCATGACAACAACAATCAATGAATAGTCAACAATGACAGTGAAGTAAAGAGTCAACAAAAATATAGGTAATAGATTCTGTAAAGCCTGTTTTATACCCGAGTCGCACCTTCAAAACAACTCCACACTGACTTTTAAATGACTGATTTTGGGGACAATATAAAGTGTGATGTTTGAAGGTTTGCATGGTGGTATGAATAATCGCGGTAGAGGTTTACAGTACACCATGTGTAAAGTCCTAGAAGGACTAAGGAAAGTGGATAGAAAATAGAAGTGAAATAGAAAGGCGAGAAAGTGGAGGTTGGAAGGAAGAGTATCTTTCGGAAGTGAGTATAGTCCTGAAAAGGACTGTAAACCAGAAAGTTGTAGATAGGATGAGAGGTTTGAGTAGAAGACTGGATTGAGTTGGAGAGTTGAGTAGAGTTGCAGAGCAGGAGCAGGAGAGTGGACTCGACGTTTCGGACAGGTTGACTGTCCGTCTTCCTGAAGACGGACAGTCAACCTGTCCGAAACGACGTACACATGGTGTACCGTAAACCTCTACCGCGAATATAAAGTGTGTTTCGGTCCATCATCGGTCCGGGTTCGATCTTGTTGGTGTGACTGAGGTATAAGCCACATAACATAAAGACTTCCTTTATGAATAATAAAGACAGCAATGTTTTGTATCCGTTGTAAAAGTGTCTCTATTGAACTAGATATTGCAAGGTTCTGTAAAGAAAGACCATTTTTCTGAAGAGATTTGAAAGTAGCTACTTGTTCAAATATCCAGCAACTTAAAAACATTGAATTTAAAGGATTTATAAAGAATCTGTCCGTAGCCAACAATTGTGTTACCTGGCCTTTAGAAAGTCTGAGCTCATACTGGGAGCTCTCTATCCTGTTCTGCAGACTGTGGTTCTCTCCCACCAGTATGCTGTTGTCCTCTCGGATCGCCTTGAGCTTCTTGCGAAGATGGCGGTTCTCCGCTGCGTCATGATCGAGGGCGGATGCACCCATCAGAGAGGTGGAGGAGGGCTGGGCTGATATGTCCTGTTCACTTTCATACTGATAAGAGAAAAAAAATAATGTTGTCTAAAGTTCCAAATACTAGTACATAAGGGTAGTCCTGATACAGTGTTTGAATGTGGCGAAGTTGAAGCAGGTACAAATCTTGACGTATAGAAGTCTGTTTGTAAATCAAAGTCACAATATGAGATTGTTGTCAAACAGAGAAGTATCATTATCTGGTCTGGTGTAAAAATGTAGAAAGATTTATGGTGGTTACATACACGTAAATGTAGGAACTTCTTGCTTACATATCTTGATATATACTCAACATTTTGATGCATTCTAAATTTTGCCCATACCAGTATTCTACATTTCAGACATAATAGAGATCAACTGATTTCCACATCCCCAACTGGAAATCATGGTATTACTCAAATTCCAAAAACAATTTGAAACTGCAAATTGCTTTTAAGTTATAAGCTAAGTAATCATTTTCTATATTAGAACCCACCTTTTCTTTCCTGCTGCTCTGTCGAGTGGTCGAGGATCGTGAGTTTCTAGAGCTCTTTCGGCTGTAGTCACTCCGATCTGATCTAAAGGATGATGTTGATGAGGCCAAACGGTCAGGAGTCAGGTCATCCAGGGTCAAGGCCGGTACCTGGTCATCTTCTTCTGGAACCCCATTGTACTCAAAGTCATCCAAGTATCTTTAAAAAAAAAGAAGAAAGGTGAATGTACACAATTAAATTCATGAGATATAGGAATTTCAAGGAATGTACATATTTGTAAAATTGTAATAGAAAACCAGAGCAGCTCAGCTAACAACGCTTATTCCAAAAATTTGTTGTGAATCCATTCCAATCTAGGTCCAAAAAGGAGATATTTGAAATACTTGCCAACATTATCACTGTCCAGGAGGCCTAAACATCTTAAAGAATAGTAGAATCAGTTAGCCAATGTCACTACTTATGTGTTGCCCTCTTGTTGCTGAGTGAGAAAAACTGGATTTGTTTACTATTGCTGGCAGTAGTAGAGCAGTACATGGCAGCAAATAACCAGCTACACCGTGACCATAAGGTACAAGGTTATTATAACCTGGTACATTGGGCGAGTGCTATCCCCAGAAATTTTATTCCAGTAGCCTTTACCTATCATGATCTCGTCCTGGTGTCTGAAGAAGTTGCAAGTTGTGTTCAGTTCGAATGAGCTTCCGGCGCAAATCTGCCACGTTCTTCAGCAACAAGTCCTCATCACTACTTGTTTGAGCCATGGTGCTACTTCAGTTGTTTCAATTGGACCCCATTCTTCTACCTGCATCTTGAAAACGAAAATGAAAACTAGTCATCAATTGGTTGATTAAAATTACTGAAAATAGCAGCCCGAGAGATGAATTACATTCAGATTACAAGAAAAGCACATGAAATACATAGCATTAGCAATGTCGGCACTTGTTCAGAAACCTATCCAAAATTTGACCCGTTGGCGTTACTCCGGCGTGGAAATACCCTAGACCTACATGTACTAAAACATACCCAAAATGAAGTAAATATTCATTAAATGTCCAAATAAAGATCATGAGTTAAACGTTGTTATGTTTATTAGCTGTTTTGTGTCAATTTTCTTGTTATTTTGGGGGTATTTTTCGGGAAAACAATGATATTATTATTAGTATACACTTTTGCACAGGATTCACGGCAAACCGCAGCACAATAGTCAATACAATTACAACTGTATACCGATGGTGGGTTGCGGTTGGCCATTGGCTATGTTTTGGTAGGTTGACCCGGAAATATATCGGCCGCCGGGTCATGATAGAGTCTATGTTCGAGTGCATGATGAACGTACTGTTTCACAGTTCTGAGATACAAATTGGATAATTCATATTAGTAAGTCCGTAAATTATGCATTTAATATTAAGTTGTCAAATTTTGATAACTGTAATTAGGACAAATGACATACCAACCTAATTTACATCTGATTTAGAAATCAGAAAATTAGATCTAGACCTAGTTAGATCTAACTTTACTCTAAATAAAGAAAATCAGGGAGAAAATGTCATGTACGAAAAGTTGTACATCGCTGGCTCTAGCTACCCCCACGGTACGAGATCTCTGGGTTACTGTCTGTATTGGGGAATGTCAACAAACAAGTTTTATTAAAGAAATGACCCAAATCAGACGGTTATTTCTGTCTAGTCTAGCCTTAGACCGAAAACCTCAGTCTCTCTAATCGTCGGTTGTTCCACTGAGACTACGTCTGGCTCCACTAGACCTCCGATTATAGAGACTGAAGTCTGGGGACCTCTTTCTGTGAGGCACTGTACGGAACAAATGGTTCGGTTCGACCGGACCGCGATGAATGAAATATGCAACGAGATTTTCACTCTTTACATCCTCATAACTGCTGCAATTATAACACAAATTAAAAATAACATATATATAGCTTATTTGACTTACGATAGCTTGCTCATTTAGATCCTAAATTAATGATTAATCCGAGAAAGTCTCGTCATCAACATTATCCGTCTTGGTGTTAGTTGATGAATATTCATTTTTTCTTTTCGAACGTCCAATAGCTACCGTAGCTACGTACGAGTAAGCCCAGCTTGACCAACGAACTCCCACGAAACGAGTGCTCTGATTGGCCATTGGCGTAGGTTGACCCGGAAATATACCGGCCGCCGGGTCATATAGCTCCATTTTCGATAGACCGAATTTTCCGTCTCTTTCGTTCGTTAGCCTAGCCTCTTATTGGGGTAGGGTCGGCCGGCTCTCTCTTTAGAGACGGAAGCCGTCTATACACATGCTCTTGACAACGCCACGGCCATTTCAGGTCGTAGCGTTTTGCCCCCAAAATCCCCCAAAATGTTTTAGGAATTTTTTAGGGGGGTTTACACACATAAAAATACCAAAGGGGGGGTTTAACCCCCCAAACACCCCCCCCCCCCTGCGTACGCGCCTGCATGGAAATCAATGTGCACGAGCTACGAGTTCGTAATGACGTTATCACAGCATCTCCTTCATAATCATTTTGCCTTGCGCACAGACTAGAAGGGATGAGATTTAAATAAATAAAAAATAACAACATACGCAGGAAGACTACGGAGCACCACTGCATGCCTTTCAACACGGCTGTCGATTTTGACCCGTAATTTCCTGAAAAGGGACCATTAAACGCGTTATACGGTCAAGTTGGTAAGTGGAATCGATGTAGTATAACAACCTTCTCCTAATTTTAAATAATCAATGCATGAGGTAAAATGACATTTTGGGGGATTTTGGGGGCAAAACGCTACGACCTGAAATGGCCGTGGCGTTGTCAAGAGCATGTGTATAGACGGCTTCCGTCTCTAAAGAGAGAGCCGGCCGACCCTACCCCAATAAGAGGCTAGGCTAACGAACGAAAGAGACGGAAAATTCGGTCTACATTTTCGAGTGCATGAACGTAGTTTCACAGAAATTGGATAAATTCATATAAGTAAGTCCGAAAATTTCACATTCTATAATAGGTTAGAAAATGTTGAAAACTGTAATTAGGAGATATATAGACCGACCTAATTTACATCTGATTTAGAAATCAGAAAATTAGATCTAGACCTAGTCTAGATCTAGGTCTAGACTAGATCTAAATAAAGAAAATCGGGGAGAAAATGTTTTGACAAAAAAAGCTGCCATTGTTGGCTAGACCTATAGCTACCCCCACGGTACGAGATCTCTGGGTTGCCATCTGTATTGGGGAATGACAACAAATGTCAGTTTTATTAAAGAAATGACCCAAATCAGATGGTTATTGCTGTCTAGTCTAGCCTAAACTTGTATTTTTTACAACTTCAAAAAATTCATAATCATAGATCTAGATCTAGGGTCTAGACCTAGTCTACTTGTCCTAGATCTACTTTAAATCAGATATTGGTCAAACTTTCATAATGTGTTTCTCTAATTGTTCTGCTTTTATCATCAAAGCCAACTTAATATCAGACTTCCCCTTAACTTCAAGTTTAAATCCCAAAGTTCCAAAATGCAAACCCAGCTGCAACAGCACCCGCAGCCAGCAGCTCCATCTCACGGCCCAGTCCCCCGCCGATCCCGGGGGCTGTGCACGTGGCTATGGCCTGAGCTGAGCTGTGCGGCCTACGCGTACTTGATTTTGATCATGTTTCATTGTATGCATTGCCCCCGGCCCAGCTAGCTAGCTTCAAACAGTTCAGACACAGAAGTAAAATCCATGACGAAATTTCTAATACAAAAAAGATTAGGGCCTACCTCAATTCTGTGTAGAAGATAGATCTTGAAACTGGCTAGGCTTGTTTTGTTTTGATACAAATTTTCAATAACTTCGACAAGGCCGCCATATTGTTATTCCAATTTAGAGAGCGCTGATTGGTTAGAAGTGACGTGGAGGTTTGAGGTTGTAATAGGAAGAAGTTTTGGTAAATAATATATGATTATAAATAAAATTGAACATATATATTTATTTTAGATAACAATTTATTCATTTGTTTATTTTTAAAATATTTTTCAATTCCTTTTTTTGAAATTCCAATCAATTTTTTTCATAATAACATTTAATAACGTTGAAACAGCCTTTTCCCCTCGAAGATCAGCCCTCAGCCGATGCTATCAAAAAAGACCCTGAAATCAGGGCAAAATTTCAATAATGGTAATGTAGTAAATTACGAAATACAATAATGATATGAACAAGAATTAATCCAATTTACCACCATTCTCACAGGATCTCAAGATTTGTTATTTTTAGGTGTGATATTATTCGATTTTTATGCTCTAATCTCCGTGAGGTGTCTGTATGTGCCACACGTTTTATGTACGTTTAGTAGCTACGTGTCGGGAATTCTTACTTGCGATAATGTTTGGCTCGTTATACATGCGGTCTCTTGCTATAATCGCTATTTTCAAGTCGCTTAGTAACCAGTGTACAGAGTGTAATTATTTGTATCTATTTATGTCATCCTTTGCCTTTAGTTAATTATTTAGGGTCCTTACTCGTGTCATGAATCTTGTTTTTGGCAACATGCAAATTGCATTGGAATTTCTGGTAGCATCGTTGAGGGCGCTAATCACAACATTAATTGCTGTGCCATGTGTGAACTGCATTTTCATGATTTACTCCAGAACGATTGGTGAATTGTTGAGCAAGAGGGGCGCTGGTCCGAGAACCAGGATCGTCCGCCGAAACGAGGATATCCTCATTAACATGGCCAAATTGCGTCTTTAAAAAATGGGGAACGTCCCCATTTTTGGAGACCGTGGACCTTTTTTTTTCATTGGTGCTGTGCAGGTTTTTGATTCTCAAACCGTGTGCTGGTGATGCGAAAAAAGATTCCGTGTAAGAAAACAACCCCATTTCCCTGTCTTCCTTTGGATTTATCGCTCATATTATTAACGCGTCGAGAAAATCAATGCGCAATCCGTTTTTCACATCGCCATCGCGCAGAACGAAAATCAGAATCGTCCTCTAAAATCCCCATTCATGAAGACGATCCTTATTCTCGGACCAGCTGTTAAACAAAGATAGCTTTGTTAACGCAGACAAATCGCATCCTGAAAAATAAGGATTGTTAGATTTTTTTTTCTCTGGCGCCCTGCCCTGCGGTAGTAAGGCCTAAAGTTATTAATCTGCGCCTTGGCAATGCCAAAAATGGACTCCTTGTCGTATTCCCAAGACGCAGATAGATAACCCTACACCTGATGGTGCGTAATAATGTGTCTCGAAACTGAAGTTGCACACAAACAAATTGCCGCACTTTGGGCAGAAAACGAAGTAGCCAGCTACTTTGCCGACTAACTGCAAAAAGAGCATTCACACATCAGTATGTGTGTGTGATGGTGCCATCTAGTGCCGCGCAAACCTGGCCAAACTTATCTGCTTCACATTTCTAAATCATTTCCAATGTTCTGAATGTGTTTCCCATACATAGACTAGAGTCTAGATCTATTCCTAATTTTTTTTAAATGATTGCAATTGTTTTGTTTTGTTGGAAACAGAAATAAAATTGAAATTGAAGTTGAAATCATGTAATGCATAGAAAAGGGAGTAGGCCTACGGCTGTAGCGTTTGTTGTGCACAGGTACTTGTCCCATTTGCCTTTTATTTCCATGTAATCTACATTTAGTTCTCATTTTACCACTTTGGATTATCACATCTTATGAGAATGTAATAAATGTTATACCAATCAAAAGATACCAGTTCTTGAGCTTTGCCCGATTGGTTTCAGACTTTCAGGCCTTTTTTTTGGTTGGATATAATTTAGGACATTCCAAGTCTTTTGAAAGTGACGCTCGATGATGATCAATGACTAATAAACCCGATGATGAGATGCCAAAAAATAGCTGGAATTACCGTATGATCATCACTGATTCAAAGCTTTGGCGACTGAGGATGTATTGGTCACAAGGAACTTGTATTTTATTTTAATATAGTGCTGTGAAACTTGACTTCTCTATGATGAAGTAGGGAAGAAGGTAGACAGCAATAACCATCTGATTTGGGTCATTTCTTTAATAAAACTGACATTTGTTGTCATTCCCCAATACAGATGGCAACCCAGAGATCTCGTACCGTGGGGGTAAATTAGAGCCACAGCGTAACAGCTTTTCGTTACCGACATTTCTCCCCCGATTTTCTTTATTTAGATCTAATTTCCTGATTTCTAAATCAGATGTAAATTAGGTCGGTCAATATATCTCCTAATTACAGTTTTCGAAATTTTCTAACCTATTATAGAATGTGAAATTTTCGGACTTACTTATATGAATTATCCAATTTGTTCCTCAGAACCGCGAAGCACTTACGTTCATGCATTCGAAATATTACCCGGCGGCCGATATATTTCCGGGTCCACCTACCAAAACATAGCCAATGGCCAATCAGAGCACTCGTTTCGTGGGAGTTCGTTGGTCAAGCCGGGCCGACTCGTATGTAGCTACGGTAGCTATTGGACGTTCGAAAAGAAAAAATTAATATTCATCAACTAAAACCAAGACGAATAATGTTGACGACGAGACTTTCTCGGATTAATCATTAATTTAGGATCTAAATGAGCAAGCTATCGTAAGTCAAATAAGCTATATATATGTTATTTTTAATTAGACTCTAATTATTGTCATATTGCAGCATGTGTGAGGATGTAAAGAGTGAAAATCTCGTAGCATATCTCATTCATCGCGGTCCTGCCGAACCGAACCATTGGTTCCGTACAGTCCCGATAGGACAATCTTCAGTCTCTATAATCGGAGGTCTAGTGGAGCCAGACGTAGTCTCAGTGGAACAACCGACGATTAGAGAGACTGAAGTTTTCGGTCTAGGAAGAAGGAGCCACTGCAAACCACCCAACTTAACCCCTCCCCTTTACTATCTCATCCTCTGTTGCAACAATCACACAAGGTAGTGCCAAGGTTTGGAGTGCACATATTTGTCATTTTAATTCATAAAATTGGCTTGTGATGATAGTAAGGCTGCTCGGCTGTCATTTAAAAAAAAACAAAAAAAAACATGGCGATTGAGTATTCAAGTATTCGCCTGTAAGCCTGGGAGTGTACTCGAGTACTTCATTACACGGTTATGCACGGCCTTGGGTAATAGCGTGATGAATTCATTCTGAAATACTTCCCAAACATGTTTCTTTGCAATTGTCTAAAATGTTCCTTTACTTTCCTTGTACAGGGGTTTGTGAAAGTTGTGAAGAACAAGGCGTACTTCAAGCGGTACCAGGTCAAGTTCAGGCGTCGCCGTGAAGGCAGGACTGACTACCAGGCCCGCCGCTTCTTGGTTGTACAAGACAAGAACAAGTACAACACACCCAAGTACCGCATGATCGTTCGCTTCACCAACAAGAATATCACATGTCAGGTTAGTTGCTTCTATAAAGATACTCTTATTTCAGGGATGTCAGTTTTCAGGCTCTGTCACCTCTTATTTCAGGCATTTTTTTTTCTTCTGAAGAACAAATCCAACTGGAACCCCAGTTAATAATTGAATATTTTTTTTGCCATGAAGAACCTCATTTTTAAACACTTTTTATTTTAAAAGGGTACAGGCCTTTTACCCTCTATGCACATGTACCCTATGATGAAATGCCTTTAAAATAGCTGGAATTACCGTATGAAAAACAATGATTCTAGATTGGCGACTGAGGGCAAATTATTCTAAAAGAAAGTCCTACTCTTCCATTTTGTATTATGAGAGATTTTTCAGCCTTTGTGAATTGCACCTTAGGAAAACCATGTCATCTGTTGGAGCTTTATGATTGGGGAATTTAGACAAGACAGAATATCATTTACAGACCTAAAAATTAAGATAAGGCCTTAAGATTAGATATTGAGTGGATGCATTGCAAACAGATATTGTTGCCCATCCTTCTCATGCATCTGGTATATTTTTCTAGGGCTTTGAATCCAAAGTTATTGATCCAAACCATAAGATGTGGAATGATGGCCTAAGAGGGTGCTTTTATACTTATCTCTCTGCTTTCCCTTTCCACTACAGGTAGCGTATGCCAAGCTGGAGGGAGATGTCATTGTATGCGCCGCATACTCTCATGAACTCCCCCGCTATGGTGTCAAGGTCGGGCTGACCAATTATGCTGCAGCATACTGCACAGGACTACTCCTGGCTCGCAGGGTAAGTCACTCTTCACTTTTACAGTTCTGTTGTCTTTGCAAGTGGTAACAAAAAATGAAGGGTCTAATTGCTTGATTAGCCAGTTGATTTTCATTTTTTTTTTTGGTGACATATCAACTTATTTGAAGATAAAAATCCAGCATTCATCCACCAAATTTGAGATGCAACCAAAATAAGTGGGATTATTTCATGAAATACATAGATTTGAGCTTGCGATATCAAGGGTGGACCAATTCATGTGATGTTTTAAGACAACTCCTAGTTTTAGGCAGGATGATGTAACCCTGAGCTAACCATTGTATCACCTACAGGTGTAGTTAGATCATGTTGAAATCTGCCCACATGTACACAGATCAATGTGCAGAATTCAGTGTGTCATGAATCATATCTTGTTTCATCCGAACAGATTCTGAAGAAGTTCAACTTGGACGGTATCTACGAGGGTCAGACAGAGCCAGATGGCGATGACTACATGGTAGAGTCCGAGGAGGGTAAGGCAGGAGCCTTCCGTTGTTTCCTGGATGTCGGTCTAGCCAGGACCACCACTGGCGCCAAGGTGTTTGGGGCACTCAAAGGCGCCGTAGATGGTGGTCTGGAGATCCCACACAGGTGAGAAATTACGGACTTGTTGAATGGCATGGTAAACCGTCCAAAAAGAAAAAAAGAAAATACTACAGCAAATAGAAATGACGTTGAGCATAAGGTGCTTTACATTTCTGTATCGTATGATACAGATACAGAGGTGTTGTGGTTGAGTGGATACGTCGCCGGACTGTCGATCACAAGTTCCGCGGTTCGAGTCCCAACGCAGCACTAATGTCCTTTGGCAAGACATTGATCTACATTTGCCACACTCAACCCAGGTGATGTGAATGGGTACCTGGCAGGAATTAATTCCTTGAAATGCTGGAGCGCTGTAATGGCAGCTAGGCTAAAGCCGGGGTAATATTAAATGTGCCTCGTTATAAAAAAATTAGATAGACGGCATTATAGAAATGCCTATTATTATTATTATACATAGATAGATTAGATAAGTGAATTTGCATGTAGCGTTTGATACTCGCCTCATTTGCCATTTATTTCCATTGAATATAGTTGTTATTTTAGAACTTTGGATTATCGTATATGAATGAGATGTGATACCACCCCCTAGATTTGAGTTTTTCTTAGGCTGTATATAAATTTAGAATATTGGAGGCTTTTACCAATGACGATCATTGACCAATAAACCCATTGATGAGATGCCAAACAATAGCTGGAATTACCGTATGATAATCACTGATTCAAAGCTTTGGCGACTGAGGGTGTTATTGGTCACGAGGAACTTGTATTTCTAGCGATGGGAAACGTGAGTTCTGTATGATGATGTAGGAATGTATTAGCCAGCGAACCCCACCCAACCTAACCTCTCCCCTCCACTTTCATATCCTCAGTTGCAATAAAGTCAATCCTGTTGTAGAGTAAAGTAAAGGTTTTGGTTTTCAATTCAAAAAATATTTTGAACCAGAGCTTGGTGCATGATACAAGTTAGCCTGGTACGTCACACTTTCAAGATATTGGCTGCGCCCATGTCGTGCTAAAAAGCATTTCATCTTGCCAAGAATATTGCAGAGGCATAATTTTTGACTGCATGTTGTGGAAGATCCATCTAGTTAATATCATGTTTGTATTATCCAAGCTATAGTCCATAGAGAATTACGTTATAATTGTACACAATTAATGTTCAGATTTTCTCTGACACTTTCTCCCTCTCAGCAACAAGCGCTTCCCTGGATACGATTCAGAGAGCAGCGAGTTCAGCGCTGAGGTCCACAGGAAGTACATCTTTGGAGGTCACGTTTCTGACTACATGAAGGAACTCCAGGGCGAGGATGACGATGCTTACAAACGCCAGTTCTCTCAGTTCATCAAGAATGACATCACACCTGACACAGTAAGTACTTCACCAGCTACTTGTAACATGTATGCAGTAAAAACTTCTAGATGGGATAAGGGAGTTTTGGAGTTTGGCCAAACGTTTTAAATACTTTTGTCTAATGGGCTCTTGATTAGGGTGGTACCTTTAGTAAATTGAGAGGCAATCCTAAACGAAAGATCAACATTTAGAAATTGAAAGAGACGTTTTTTGAAACTTAGTCATGAAATTGCCAGATGCGGGTCCTTGCGATTGGAAAGGGTGATGAAGATATTAAAAGGGACAATTTTGTTTTTTTTATCTGATACTTGTCATTTTCCACATGCTGTAGTCGTATCTCCTTCAGAAAAATGAAATTGTTAAAGTTATTATCCACCCTATGATGATATGCCAAAAATAGCTGGAATTACCGTATGATATACAATGATTCAAAGCTTTGGCGACTGAGGATAACAACAACACGACTGCTCTTCCGTCTCTCAACAGAAGATAACTGTGCTTCTAACTTTTGTAGAATGTTGGAAAGTAACATCCTTTAGAAACAAATAAATTAACAGAAGTTTGCCGCTCTCCATCCAGGTGTAAATTTGTATCTGATTTGCTTGAACACTCGATATCAAGCTGATTGAATGTAGTGAAGAAAAGAAAAAAAAATGTATGGAGCGATAAGCGATTTTAGCTCTGGATTGCTCTAATAAAGCTCTGAAAAAAGAAAAAAAAACACAGGACAATAACAGACTTCAAGTGATTCAATTGCAATGAAGTCTTGCTTGTTTAATAGTAAATCAAAAAAGCTCTCATAGATTAAAAGGTATTTTGTAAATTTTTATTCTGCTTGGCTATAACCAGATAGGATATTGGAGCACGAGGAGCATCATGGTTTGACATAAATGAGTCCTAAACAAGAAGCTTGCCATTACTATGGTGATATTATTTTGTTGTTTTCAGCTTGAAGCCATGTACAAGAAGGCGCATGAAACCATCAGGGCCGAACCCGACGCCAAGCCTAAGAAGGAGTTTGCTGGCAAGACGAAGAGGTGAGAGCTCCTTCCTCCCGTTTTGAACATCTTGTATTGAAAAGAGATCAGATTCAGTAGAGCCTGCATAACTCTAAGAAGGTTTTACGACACTTGCTCCTACAACTTTTGCTTGGCCTCAATTTCCCAACCGGAAAGTTACCTTGAGTCCAGGATTCGACACCATACCTGAGTCTGAACCTTTGCTGAAATAAAGCCTGAAGCAATAGTTGCAGGAGCAAATGTGGCATCACAACTCAACCACTCACAAAATTCTGTACAAACCTTCTTAGTAGGTGAAAGATTTGTCAGTGAAGAAATTAGGTATTGCAAAAGCATCAAGCTTGCAAATGAGAAGAACTGCATGCTAAATTTATAATAGTTTCGTGCTGGGAAAAAAAATTGTGTGTCCTTTTACAAAGGTTTCTGGTGCATCAATTGTACTTCTGTTTTGAGTATATTGTGTTGGAAGTTCATCAGATTTATTACAGACCCCATAATTCCTACATCTGTAAGTCACCAACATCATCAGTTTTCTAGATGCATGATGATTCTATCAGGTTCACATCCCCACTAGAGATTGAATAAGACCAGATAAGAAAGAAAGAAAATGATTTTGTTTGGATCATTTTTATACTTATGTGACAGCAGTAGACCTTGGACTTGCCCTACTCTATTGGGATTTTTTTTTTTTAAACCTCATCAAATGCTGCAAATTCCACTTGAATGGGTTGCTAATCAATGTATCATCCACCCTATGATGAGATGCCAAAAAACAGCTGGAATTACCGTATGAAATACATTGATTCAAAGCTTTGGCGACTGAGGGTATTTCGGTCATGAAGAACTTCAGTGAATTTGGATAGGAAACTTTCCCATAATAATTCTCTTTCTAGTGTGTTTTGTATAGCCAATGGAAGATATGAAGAAAAATGTATCAGCGGACTCCTCCTGTGAAACCTTCAGAGATTCCAGATTTCTAGGGTTTGACTGTTCCTAAAACATTAGCATAATATGTAGCATGTAGAATCTGTATGTACTGTCCTGACTGATATTTGGTCATACCTTAAAACCTTGAAACAAATCATTTTCATTCCGATTTCTTAATTTTTTGCTTCAGATGGAACCGCGCCAAGCTCACCCTGCTCCAGCGCAAGGACCGCGTCAAGCAGAAGAAGAAGTCCTTCCTCTACGCCAACCAATCTCACGACTAAGTCATCCGTTCCTCATCCTCCTCCTCACATACTCCAATCTCAAGTACTCCACTCCCAGAACGAACAATGATATGACCATCACACGGAACACTCATTATGGACAATAACACCAGGGACGTTAGTAGATACCGGCCAACAGTGAACGAATGAAATAATTGACTCGTGCACGACAGAAGTGATAACATCGGCGACTGGCATTGGGCTGGTAAAACGAAGCAAATAAATACTGATGACAGATGTATTTAAAAACATATTATACGTGTTTGGTTTCATTTCATATTGGCAGAGCTTCTTAATCTGTAGAAATCTGATCAATGAGTGATACATTACCAAATTAGTGGAAGTACTCGGGGGCAGATCCAGGGGGGGGGGGGGTGGTGGGGGCACTTTTTTCCTTCTGAATAAAAATAGCAGGAAAAAAGCTAAGAAATATTCACATAAATGTTTAGTTCAAGCATTTAGAAATGCCTCAGAATGTAGGTTCAATATTTTTCAGACCCCGCACAATTTCATACATTTCACGCGCCCCTCACCCCCCTTTGAAAAATCCTGGATCTGCCCCTGGTACTTGAAAGCAACAACTCAGAATCAAGAACTTAACCCTTACTGTACTGGGCTATTTTGAGCACCCACTGACTGGGGGGGGGGGGGGGGGGGCCTGGGAGGCCCCCCCCCCTATGATCTCGGCCGTCGATTGTCCGATGAACACGAAAATTTGCATGTTTGTATATATCTACGTAAGGAACAAGATGGTATAATTAGTTTTTTCCGAATATGCAAATTTTTGTCGTTAGCCTAATTAATTATGCAAAATGCGCTAATTTTATGCGTTTTACAGAAAACGTGTCAAACTCTACTTTTTGAATGTGATAACTCATTATTCATATGAAACTTCCTTTTTAACACAAAAAAGTTATTTTAATGTAATTAATAATGATAATTTATGCAAATTTTGATGCGATTTTTATTTTTTGTTTGTTTTTTTGATGACATGCGCATACTAATTGTTATGTAACGCCTTACAGGTATATCTGATTTCGACGAAAATGGTATCAAAATGTGCGTAAGACTTGAGGGAAAAAAGTCATGAAACGACAATTCAAAATTCCAAGCGGTTGCGGCGCAATCTCCGAAAATGTCGAGGGGGGGGGGCCTCCCAGGCCCCCCCCCCCCCCCCCCCAGTACAGTAAGGGTTAAAGGGAAGGTTGAGTTCTGGGGAGAGTTGAAAAATACTTTGAAAGCATAATCATTGTTATTATGCAAGTGTGGAAGAACATCAGGGAAAAAAATGTTCCTTGAAAAGCAGGCCTCTTCGAATGCCTTCATGTTCTAAATAAGCAAAGTAAGGGCTTAAAAATGAGGCCCAATTGTTATTCTACATGTATGTGTAGTCCCATGTACCTCTTTCTGTGTACGGTGCTTGTTACTTTACCAAGACGGTCAAATTTCTTATCATTTTGACGACTCCTGGAATCTTGCAGTACACACCAATACTACATGATCAACTTTTTCTGATCTATTCCACACCGTTTCTTTAACAATGCAATCGCATGACCAGACCTTAACTTTATCTTTAAGAGAAACTCATGTAAGTCTTGGTAATTGTAAGTATTATGCAGAATATCCACTTTTGTTGGGTATGTTTGAATGTGGGTGAAAGAGTTGAAAATAATTTTTGAGAGATTAAGTGATGATACATGAATGGTATGTTGTCCAGGTCAGGCTGACCAATTGTGCTGCAGCATACTGCACAGGATTACTCCTCACCCACAGGGTAAGTCACTCTTTGCTCATCTCAAATTCAGCTCTTTACATTTCTGTGATGCCTCAGTCGCACCTTTGCGCATTGCCGAGTATCTATGGCAAGCCGTTTTAACATTTATTCCTATTTCTTGATATCAAGAAATGATCTTCCGTTGTAAAGCAATGGTAATTTTTTTATATCAATAAATTTTAGAACGGCTTGCCATAAACACTGGGCAATACGCAAGCCAGATACGCAAAGGTGTGACTGAGGCATATTGTGATGTAAAGAAAATATTAAGAAATCGAGAATCTGTTGCTGTTCTTAGACAGATGAATTTCTTCTTGTCTTAGCATATGCATTTGAAAAAAAAATAGTATTCATCCATTCCACCAAATGAGATGTAACCGAAAAAAGTTGAATTATTTTATGAAATACATATTGATTTGAGCTTGGGAGATGAGGGGGATCAACATGTGATGTACTTTTAATACAACATCTATTCTGTTAGGAAGGAAGTACATCTTTGGAGGTCACGTTGCTGACTACATGAAGGAACTCCAGAGAAAAGATGACGACTCTTACAAACGCCAGTTCTCTCCGTTCATCGAGAATGACATCACACCGGACACAGTAAGTACTCCACCGGCAACTTGTAACGTGCATGCAGTTTAAAACTTCTAGATGGGGATGCAAGTTGTAGTGTAGTAGCCCAATCAATTTCACAAATTTTACCTTATTTTTCTTATTTTACCACTTTGGATTATCGATACGATGTGAATGTGATAGACGTGATACCACCCTAGAGATAAGGGGGGTGTTTCACAGAACTTCTCATCACTGATAAATGACAGTTTTTGTTATAAGCTACTGAAATCCTTGCTTCTGATTGGTTATCGGCAGATTTGTCACTGATTTTTGTCATTTGTCATTGAAAAAAGGCTTGGTGAAACCGGTCCAAGGACGTTAGGCTTCATGACCTATCATTTTCAGGCGTTTTTAGGCTGGATATAATTTAGAACATTCAAGACTTTTAATGAGGATGATCACTGACCAATAAATCCGTTGATGAGATGCCAAAAAATAGCTGGAATTACCGTATGAAATACATTGATTCAAAGCTTTGGCGACTGAGGATAACTAAAACAGGAATGCCCTTATGACTCTCAGAAAATAGGTTGTGCTAAATAAGTTTTGTAGAATTTTTTTTTTTTTCTTCATCTTTGTTTATCATTTAAAAACATCTCTAAATCAATCCAAATGCAATCTATGTTATTCTTGTCATAGTGGTTTATTTGCAAGACTAGGGCTCAAATCTCGGTCAAACATTGAACAATTAACCAAAGTTTGCTGCTCTCCATCCAGGTGTAAATGAAGGAGGTGCAGGGCTTATCACATGAAGGAACTTCAGGGAAAAGATGACGACTCTTACTAACACAAGTTCTCTCATTTCATCCAGAATGACATCACACCGGACACAGTAAGTACTTCACCGGCAACTTGTTGTGTAAATGCTGTAAAACTTCTAGATGGGATAAATAAGGGAGTCGTGTAGTAGTTGGCCAATCGATTCAACACTACTGTGTGGGCTTTTTTTTGAGTAAATTGAGAGGCAATCCAGAACAAGGATAAACACTTAAAAAACGGAAGAATTTTTTTTGGTTAAATTAGTCATGAAATTGAGTGGGGGAAGGGATGGATGCCTTCTTCTGCCTGATGCGGGTCCGTGGAGAAAGGGCAAGGAATACTATAAAATGATGAAAGGAACAAGTTTTTTTTTCATCTGATACATTTGATTTTCTACATACTAGAGTAGGTGTATTTATAAAATTGTTTAGTAATGATCCACCCTATGATGAGATGCCAAAAAATAGCTGGAATTACCGTATGAAATACATTGATTCAAAGCTTTGGCGACTGAGGATAACTAAAACAGGAATGCTCATCTGACTCTCAACAGAAATTTGTGCTTTATAAGTTTTGTAGAATGTTCAATATTTCTGTCATCTTTGTTTATCATTTAAAAACAAGTTTAAATCAATCCAAATGCAATTTATGTATTCTTGTCATAGTGGTTTATTCTCATGACTTAGGGCTCAAATCTTGGTCCAACATTGAACAATTAACAAAAGTTTGCTGCTCTCAATCCAGGTGTAAATGAAGGAGGTGCTGGGCTGACCACATAAAGGAAGTTCAGGGAAAAGACGACGACTCTTACAAACACAAGTTCTCTCATTTCATCAAGAATGACATCACACTGGACACAGTAAGTACTTCACCAGCAACTTGTAACATGTATGCAGTGAAACTTCTAGATGGGATAAGGGAGTTCCATAGTTGTAGGCGTAAACGATTCAATACTTCTGTCTAATGAGCTTTTGATTACCGGTAGAGTGAATTGAGAGGCAATCCAGGACAAAAGATGATCACTTGAAGAAAAAAAAAGTTTTTTTTTTATTTTTTTAAAAAATTAGTCATGAAATCAGTTGGGGGAACGAATGGATGCCTTCTTATTCCAGATGCGGGTCCTTGCGTTAGGAAAGGCTATGAATATGATAGAAGGAACACAATTTTTTTTCTAATCTTATACTTTTGATTTTCCACATGTTGTAGTAGATGTACCTTCTTCACAAAGATAAAACTGTTTAGTAATTATCCACCCTGTGATGAGATGCCAAAAAATAGCTGGAATTACCGTATGAAATACATTGATTCAAAGCTTTGGCGACTGAGGATAACTAAAACAGGAATGCCCTTCTGACACTCAACAAAAGATAGGTGTGTTTTATGAGTTGTGTAGAATATTGAAAGTTTTTTTTTTTTCCATTTAAAAACAAATCTATTACAATCCAATGCAAGCTATGTATTCTTGTCATAGTGGCTTATTTGCATGACTTAGGGCTCAAATCTCGGTCCAATATTAACATCTTTTAGAAACAAAACAATTAACAAAAGTTTGCTGCTCTCCATCCAGGTGTAAATGTAGGAGGTGCTGGGCTGACCACATGAAGGAACTTCAGGGAAAAGATGACGACTCTTACAAACACAAGTTCTCTCAGTTCATCCAGAATGACATTACACCGGACACGGTAAGTACTTCACCGGCAGTTTATAGCGCATATGCTGTAAAACTTCTGGATGGGATAAGGGAGTTGCAGAGATTTCTTTTTGTTTAGTAATTATCCACCCTGTGATGAGATGCCAAAAAATAGCTGGAATTACCGTATGAAATACATTGATTCAAAGCTTTGGCGACTGAGGATAACTAAAACAGGAATGCCCTTCTGACACTCAACAAAAGATAGGTGTGTTTTATGAGTTGTGTAGAATGTTGAAAGTTTTTTTGTTTTTTTTCCTTTAGAAATAAATCTAAGGTAATACATCTTTGGAGGTCACGTTACTGACTACATGAAGGAACTCCAGGGCGAGGATGACGATTCTTACAAATGCTAGTTCTCTCTGTTCATCAAGAATGACATCACACTGGACACGGTAAGTACTTCACCGGCAACTTATAGCGCATATGCTGTAAAACTTCTGGATTGGATGAGGAAGTTGCAGAGATTTCTTTTTGTTTAGTAATTATCCACCCTGTGATGAGATGCCAAAAAATAGCTGGAATTACCGTATGAAATACATTGATTCAAAGCTTTGGCGACTGAGGATAACTAAAACACGAATGCACTTCTGACTCTCAACAGAAAATAAGTTTTGCAAAATGTTGAAATTTTTTTTTGCTTCTGTTTTTCCTTTAAAAAACTTTTGTCATAGTGGTTCATTCATATGACTAAGGGCTCAAACTTAAGTCCAACACTAACATCATTTAGAAACAAATCGATGAACAGAAATTTGCTGCTCTCCATCCAGGCGTAATTTTTTTTCCTGATATGCATGAGCACTAGATGTCAAGCTGATTGACTATAGTGTAGGAAAGTAAAGAATACTTGGAGTGTTAAGCAATTTTAGCTCCGGATTGCTCCAATAAAGCTCTGTGAAAAAAAACACAATACAATACAAGATAATAACAGATTTAAAGTGATTAAAATTGCAATGAAGTCTTGCTATTTAATAGTAAATAACAAAACATTTCATGTAGATAAAATAAAAAATATTTGGTATTCTGCTCGGCAATAAACAGATGGGATATTGGAGCACGATGAGAACTTTACAAGAAGCTTGCAATTACTATGGTAATGTTTTTGTTGTTTTCAGGTTGAAGCCATGTACAAAGAAGGCGCATGAAGCCATCGGGGCCGAACCCGACGCAAAGGCTAGGAAGGAGTTTGCTGGCAAGACCAAGAGGTGAGAGCTCCCTCCTCCCGTTTTGAACACCTTGTATTGAAATGAGATCAGATTCAGTAGAGCCCCTATAACTCTAACAAGGTTTTACAACTGTGCGAGGCCTTATTTCCTATACTAACCTCGAGCTCTGGACCCGACACTATACCTCACCCTAAACCTTTGCTGAAATAAAGCCTGGAGCAATTGTTGGAAACCTCTACTAGAGATTGAATCAGACCAGTTATGAAGAGAAATGAGAGTGAATTTTTTTTTTAAATTTATATACATATAGGACAGCAGTAGACTAAATATCTTGGACATGCCCTACTTGATTGGGAAGTGTGCTATTTGTTATCTCTTGAAATGCTGGAAATTCCCCTTGAATGAGTTGCTGTATCATCCACCCTGTGATGAGATGCCAAAAAATAGCTGGAATTACCGTATGAAATACATTGATTCAAAGCTTTGGCGACTGAGGATAACTAAAACAGGAATGCCTTTCCGTCTCTCAATAGTAAATCACACTAAGCTCATGTAGACCAAATGTATTTTGTATTCTGCTTGGCTATAATCAGATGGTGTGACATAGTACTATACAAGAAGCTTGTAATTACTATGGTGAATTTTGTTTTCTTCTTCAGGTTGAAGCCATGTACAAGAAAATGCATGAAACCATCGGAGCCCAGGTCAAGTCTAGGAAGGAGTTTGCTGGCAAGACCAAGAGGTGAGTCTGAGAGCCCCTGTTTGGAACCCTTTGCTGTATCATCCACCCTGTGATGAGATGCCAAAAAATAGCTGGAATTACCGTATGAAATACATTGATTCAAAGCTTTGGCGACTGAGGGAAACTAAGACAGGATTGCCCTTCCGTCTCTCAACAGAAAAAAGTTTTTTTTTTTTTCTATATCAATCCAATGCAATCTATGTATTCTTTTCATAATGGTTCATTCGTATGACTAAGAGTTCAAATCTCAGTCCATCATTTATATCCTTTAAAAACAACCAATTTACAGAACTTTGCTGCTCTCCATCCAGGTGCAAATTTGTATCTGTTATGCCTGAGCATTAGATATCAAGCTGAAGAACAGAAAATAAGATAAATGAAGCGATAAGCAATTTTAGCATAGATGAGTACTATACAAGGAGCTTGCAATTACTATAGGATATTTTTTGTTTTCAGGTTGAAGCCATGTACAAGAAGGGGCATGAAGCCATCAGGGCTGACCCGAGGCCAATTCTAGGAAGGAGTTTAATGGCAAGACCAAGAGGTAAGAACTCCCATTTTGAACACTTTGCTGTATCATCCACCCTGTGATGAGATGCCAAAAAATAGCTGGAATTACCGTATGAAATACATTGATTCAAAGCTTTGGCGACTGAGGGAAACTAAAACAGATTGCCTTTCCATCTTTCAACAGAAGAGGGTTTTTTTGTTTTTTTTTTCCTTTAAAAACAAATCTAAATCAATTCAATGCAGTCTGTTTTCTTGTTATAGTGGTTCATTCGCATGACTAATGGCTCAAATTTCAGTCCAATACCTACATCCTTTAGAAAATATATTTATAGAAGTTTGCTGCTCTCCATCTAGGTTTAAATTTGTATTTGATATGCTTGAGCACTAGATATCAAGCTGAAGAAAAGAAAACAAATATATGGAGCGATAAGCAATTTTAGCCCTGGAATTGCTCCAATAAAGCTCTGTGAAAAAAAAAGAATAAAAATACACAAGATATTAAAAGGCTTAACCCTTACTGTACTGGGGGGGGGGGGGGGCCTGGGAGGCCCCCCCCCCCCTCGACATTCTCGAAGATTGCACCGCAACCGCTTGGAATTTTGAATTGTCGTTTCATGACTTTTTTCCCTTAAGTCTTGCGCACATTTTGATACCATTTTCGTCAAAATCGGATATACCTGTAAGGTGTTACATAACAATTAGTATGCGCATGTCATCTAAAAAATGCTATAATTGCATATATTCATGTACAAGCAGAAATGCGAAGATATGAATTGATATCAAATTGCTTTTATATGTTTCTCAGAGTAACTTGATGTATTCCAGAACAAAAGAATACATTAGAAATAAAACAATAGATATAATAAGAAATAAAAAACAATAAAATACATAAGAGAATAAATAGTTGAAAATTGCATCAAATTTGCATAAATTATCATTATTAATTACATCAAATAACTATTTTGTGTTAGAAAAGAAGTTTCATATGAATGATAAGTTTCAACATTCAAAAAGTGGAGTCTGACAATTTTTGTAATGATTCTAGTTCCCTAATTATAGTTCCAGATTTGATATTCATGAATGCGTAATTTGCATATTCATAATTTATGCAAATTAACCTATGAATTTTCAAATATCATAAAAATAATGAAACCTCATGAATTTGAGATGAAGGAAACATTTATTCAATACATTTTCAAGATTCTTTACAAGTCTACGGACAAATATGTAGAGTTTTCTGTAAAATGCATAAAATTAGTATTTTGCATAATTAATTAGGCTATAACGACAAAAATTTGCATATTAGGAAAAAAACTAATTATACCATCTTGTTCCTTACGTAAATATCTACAAATATGCAAATTTTCGCGTTCATTGGACATTCGACAGCCGAGATCATAGGGGGGGGGGGGCCTCCCAGGCCCCCCCCCCCCCCCCCCCCCCCCAGTCAGAGGGTGCTCAAAATAGCCCAGTACAGTAAGGGTTAAAGTGATTCAATTGCAATGAAGTATTCTGCTTGGTTTTAATCAGATTGGAGCATTAGGAGCATCATGGTGTGACATAGATGAGTGCTATACAAGAAGATCGCAATTACTATGGTGAATTTTTTGTTTTCTTCAGGATGAAGCCATGTTCAAGAAGGCGCATGAAGCCATCAGGGCCGAACCCGACGCCAAGTCTAGGAAGGAGTTTGGTGGCAAGACCAAGAGGTGAGAGCTCCCTTCTCCCGTTTTGAACACCTTGTTTTGAAATGAGGTCAGATTCAGTAGAGCCTCCACAACTCTAATAAGGTTTTACAACACTCGCTTCTACGACTGTTGCTTGGCCTCAATTTCCTACACTAAGTGAAAAATTACAACCCTAAACCTTGAAATAAAGCCTTGAGCAATTGTTGCAGGAGCAAATGTTTCGTCACCAGCTCAAAACTTTCACCTACTAGAAAGAGGTGTACAAATTTTGTGAGTGGTTCAGTATTGAAAAGCATCATGCTGCAAATTTGTGAAGGCCTGCGTTCTAAATTTGTAATGGTTTCGTGCTGTGAGAAAAAAAAATTGTATTCGTATATTTTTTTACAAATTTAAGTTTCTGGTGTGACAATTGTACATACTTCTATTTGAGTACATTGTGTTGGAAGTTAGATCAGATTTATTACAGCCTCCATAATCACTAAAGCTGTTCATTGCATCATCATTTTGATCCTTGATGATTCTATTAGGTCCAGAGCCTTACTAGAGCTTGAATCAGACCAGTTGTGAAGGAAAATGAGGAAGAAAACAAATCTGGCAATTCATATACATATAGGATAGAAGTAAACCAATTACCTTGGACAAGCCCTACTCAATTGGGAAATGAGGGAAACTAAAATACAATTGCTCTTCTGTCTCTCAACACAATTCCAAGTGTTCAAATCTCAGTCCAACACTAACATCCTTTAGAAACAATCAATTTACCGAAGTTGGGTGCTCTACATCCGGGTGTAAATTTGTATCTGATATGCATGAGCACTAGATATCAAGCTAAAGTAAAGAAGAAAAAAAAAATATGGAGCAATAAGCAATTTTAGCATAGATGAGTACTATACAAGAAGCTCACCAAAGGTGATAATTTTTTTTTCTTCAGATTGAAGCCATGTTCATGAAGACACATGAATCCATCAGGGCCGGACCAGAGCTGGCAAGACCAAGAGGTGAGAGCTCCTTCCTCCCATTTAGAACATCTTGTATTGAAAGTTGATCAGATTTATTACTGCCTCTATAATCCCTTCAGCTATATATGACAACATCATTTTGTTTTGGATCCTTGATGAGTCTATCAGTTTCTCAGCCCTACTAGAGCTTGAATCGGACCAGTTATGAAGAGAAATTAAGGGGGGGGGGCATCTGGTAATTTATATACATATAGGACAGCAGTAGGCTAAGTACCTTGGACATGTAGTACTCGATTGGGAAATGTGCTATTTTTAATCTCATCAAAGGCTGTGAATTCCCCTTGAATGGGTTGCTGTATCATCCACCCTGTGATGAGATGCCAAAAAATAGCTGGAATTACCGTATGAAATACATTGATTCAAAGCTTTGGCGACTGAGGGTATTTTGATCATGAAAAACTTGAAAACTACAATGGTTAATTACAATAACCATTGTATTACATGCCATCTGTATTGAGATCCATGTGCTTGATGGGTGCCCTGCCAATTGCTCCAGGCTTTATTTCTTGAAAAGTGCAAGGTAAGGGTTAGAGTTGTGATTGAGTCGTAGGTTGGGCTTTATAGGGTTAAGTTTAGTGTTTGATCCAAGGTTTTGCTAAGAAATTTGGTTGGTATTTGAAATTGACCTAGCCCCCGTTTCCTAAAACTTGTTATTAATATCAAGTTACAATAACTGTTACAAGCTACTGATATGGTGGTTTCTGATTGGCTGAGAGCAAATTTGTGAAAGATATTTAACATTTGTTAATGATAACAAGTTTTATGAAACAAGGCCCTGGAATAATCATCACAGCAACACGTGTCGTACAATCGCTAGATACCTTGAAACAAATCATTTTCATTCCGATTTCTTAATTTTTTTCGCTTCAGATGGAACCAAGCTCTCCCAGCTCCAGCATAAGGACCGCGTCCGACTGAAGAAGAAATCCTTCCTCTACGCCAACCAATCTCACGACTAAGTCATCCACTCCTCTTCCCCAATGATATGGACAATCTAACCCAGGACGTTGTATATAGATACTGGCCAACAGTGAACGAATTAAGTAATTGACTCGTGCCTACAGAAGAGATAACATCGGTGACTGGCATTGGGCTGGTAAAGCAAAGCAAATAAATACTGGTGACAGATGTATATCAAAAACATTATTTGTGTGTGGTTTCATTTCATAATGGCAGAACTTCTTTAATCTGTAGTAACCTTTGTAACCGCAAAGAAAAGGCACTATGTCAAATATCTTTTGATTGATTGAATGATTGAATGATTGATTATTTTTGATGAATATAATCATTACCGATGCAATGTGTGATACATTACCAAATTAGTGGAAGTACTGGAAAGCAAGAGCCCAGAATACAGCACTTACAAGAAACTCTTGTATGTGTTGGTAATGGCAAGTGTTATGCGGAAAGTCCCTTTTTGTAAGGCATGTTTGAATGTGGGGTGAACGAGGTGAAAAAGAACTTCTGAGAGATTTAGTGAGCATACATGAAGCATATCTAGGTGAGAAGAGCAAGGCTATGCATTCCAAGTATAAAGAAAAATCTAACCTAAATAGCAAATCGCTCTGAAAGATGGTAACAAAAGTTAAAGAAGCAGATTGGTAAAAGTTTGAACAAAATTGGACAAACGACAAGAAAGTTATGAATTTTTAAAAGTTATTACCATTTTACGAAACTAAATTTAGAATTTGTTCCTACACACAAAAAGACTAAAATATAAATTTTTCAATACATGTATGTCCGACCCAGGGAAGTATGTATTCTGTTTAGAGGCCCTACACTGTATGATTTGTTTTGAGTAGTGGCCCAAGGGATTTGGCAAATTTGAACAAGTTGCAAATGTGAGAATCGCATAGATTTAATGATGTCATATTTCTTTTAATACATACATGTATATGTCCAATTTATTTCAAACCTTTTGCATTCTTTTTCTGCTTTTATATACTAATACAATTATTAAAAGGGCTGGATATCTATTTTGCAGCATGAATCTTGCCGAAACTGAACCATTTACAAAATTTGTAGGTTCCTGGGTCGGTGTTGAATTCATTCATGTCAGAAATACAAGTATGATAGTTATTTACTTTTAGGCTCATGCAAAATACTGGCTTAATCCACATACTGAATTGAATATGGCCTCTAGTTTTACAGTAAGGTGTATGAGTGTACATGTAAGAATGGAGCATGGATTGAAAAAGAATGAAAGATGTGGCAAAGAAGTCTAAGAGAGATTCAGTGATCTATGGAAAAGAAGAAAAATGTGTGAACCTCGAAGCAAAAACCAAATGCTGATTTCATTTAGATGTCACTCTCTATATGTTTTGTACACGGATATCATTTATGTGTGTGTGCAAAACATTTCTTCTCCACAGTGCCCCATATTAGTCACTGTAAGAGTTTTTTTCTCTGTGATATAAATTGGTTGTGGATTTAAAAAAAAAATTCTGTACAAAATAAATGCTTTAAAAAAGAAATGCTTCAAGGGGGGGGGGGGGGGGGGGAGTCCTGATTTGTCTCTTGTTGAAGAAAGGAAGCAAGATATAGAACAATTTTGGTGGCAAATTATTTGATTATTTTTTAGAAAAACACAAGAAACCTTGCAATTAAATAAACAAAAAACGTCCCACAAATCTTCATTTGGAAATGCCTTTAATATAATATTCATCTATTCATCTGTTATTTACAAAAATTGTAACATGTGCCTGCATTATCATAGAAGAGGATATAAAGGGAAAAGAAAGAAAAAACGGCGAAGTATATATTCTGGAGCCAATATACACAACATCTTTACTTTACTTTAACATGATAATGTCTTTTAAAAACATTATTTCCTTCTTATATACACAATTGACAATACAAAGTAAGAAACAGAAATTTGCTAGAATTAAAGTTCCATTGACCTAATTTCATCAATATAATATTTTCTGTATTTAAAGCTTAGGTTGAATGATGGTTGCAATACATGTACATATTTTTGAATCGAAGTCTGACTGTCTTTTAATAAACTTTCACAGAATCGAATGTGAAATTTATATTATATCAATATTATCACATTGAAAATTACAAATGTATACAGTGGAAATTACCTAAAATAAAAGAGATTTGACCATTAAAATCACCTTCTTATAACAGATACCTCGTTATATCAGAGATTTTTATACCGAGTTCACACTGTACCAGCTAATAGCTCAGAAATTAACAAATGATGTTGAAAAAAAATAAACCTATTTATCATGATTGAAAATAAAATAATTGTCCAAAAACACTTCAAAGTTGCAGCATTTTGATTATGATACTCCATGATTATGAGACTCCTTAGCATGAAATTATACAGCTTTACAAATAACCACTAAATTTTATATTTTGTACAGGAGATGTTGTTGTTGTTCCTTTCATTGGAGTTGTGTTAATAATAATTAATAATAGAAAATTTATATATCGCTTAATACTAATGTTTCTAAAGTGTTGTTCCATTATTGCCACAGCCATTTTTATGTACACCAACCTGTTGATACAATTATAAAAAATCTGCAGACTTTGTACAGAATGTTTGGACATACACTTACAACCTACATCAACAAGTATATATAAATAATGGGGAAGCATAACTTGAAGGCAACAAAATACTTGATTGCATTGACAAAAACACACATTAATATACTGTATTATGAAAATAAAAATGACATGTAGTTCATATTTGATAGTTCTTAGCAAGTCTTTGTTAAACCACACTTTTCTACTATTCATGATTACCAGAATTTTTCAAACATTGAAAGTAGTGAATTTCCCCAACACCAAAAATTAAAGCTTTCTCTGTACATGTATTAGTATCAAGTAATTAAAAAACATGGCATATAGTGATGTGAAATGCCAGGAATAAGTTTTTTAGTCTTCCTACATCTCCATCATGATATCTGGGAACACAACAAAGGTATTCTCTTGCTTGCAACACACAGGAGACTTCTTTCCTTTTCACCATTGGTGTACCTAATACTAAGTGACAGGTATTGTACTTCACGAATGAGCCATAAAAGGTTACTTCATTAACACTTTTTGGTTGCCTTCTCACCTATTTGCACTGTCGCTTCTTTGACACATGTGCAAGTTTGCACAAAAATGGGTACCAATTGACCGAAGGATTGCTTTGTGCTATACAATCATTTAACCCTTTAACACCTGTACATAAATCTTGCACTGGAAACAGATGAATAATCTTGTAGCCTTTGGTATATCGATCTAATGATAAACAATGTGGCACAGGGACACTGTTTTGGGGGCATATAAAGAGTTAAATATATCTATGAAAAAAGTAATAAATTTTAGTCTACCAAAATTCAAGATGAAAATTTTTGTTGTTGCTAAATGTATGTGTTACTTCAGTATCAACCTCGAACCCTGTCGATCGATTTTTACATACGGTAGATGTAAATGAATGAATCGAACCCTGCAACTTTACTATCTGGCAATGATGGCATTTTGATGTAGATTACAATAGGATTATATATGATATTTAAAAAAATGTAAATATTATCCAATTGGGGAGCTAAACTTATTGGTTTCTCTGTGTATCAACAATGGCTACTAAAAAAAAATGATTCCACCATACATGTATATAAGTTTGTACAATGAAACGGGTAATTGCACATGGATCTAATTACAAATTAATATATAAACTAGTAGTGTGATTTAGCTTCTGGATACTTCTCGATGGCCACTGAACATCATAATCGATGCCTGACTCCTACACTACTGGTGATCTATGTCTAGTCTCACTACATGGAATAAAGCAGGGTTCCAAAAAAACTTTTTTTGGAAGGGGGTCCGGTATGCACTTTTTAGGGTGTCTACGTACGTACACGCCCACTTTTCAAAAAATTTGGGGGCTCCGGACTTGGATTTTGAGCACCCATGTGTCCCAGTCACCTCTTTGTGTCGAGGCCTGAATGAATAATACCAATATTGCATTCATTTATAGAGCTCAAATCAGTGACACTCCTAATGCTCCAACATTATTACATGTACCCCGGTCATAGTAGAGCAGCCTGGGTGGAGAAAGGCATACATGAATTAATGTCACACCCAAGGACATCAGTACCAGGCTGGGATTTGAACCCTCAACCTTTTGATTGAATGTCAGGTGAATGTCCTTCAGTGTTCATGGTCATTGGTTAATCGACATAAACGCCTGGCTATTTCATTTCTGGTGATCGTTGGTCATCAACATGCTGGCTTGACTACTTTATTCTTGGAGCACCGGTGGCTATGGGTCATCTACATCGATGCTTCACTACATGGCATTGGTCATCAACATACTGGCCCGACAGCTGGGGCACCGGTGGTCATTGGTCATCTACATCAATCCCCCAGTCATCATCACCCCATCCTTCGGCATCCTGTCATAATGAAAATAAGACAGCCTCAGATTAAGCAGACAAATGGATGGACAATCCTATAAATAATGCTGGCACGACCTTCGGCATCAAAATGGACAGATTACTCTAATGTATTAATTGTTTCACACAATAGATAAACTGAAGTCCACATTTTTGAAAAATAATTTGTTTCAGAATTTTTTTGTCACTAGCTATAGACAGACCATAACTATGCCTAATCTAAACCCTCGAGAGACATTGTCTATGATTTTTAAGTTAAACAAATTATTATTGGTTAAGATTGAAAGTATTACCTCGTCACCATCATTGGCCACAGCAAAGGACAATGCTCCAGCAGAATGAGTTTGGTCATCTTTGGGTGAGTCTTTCTTTTCTGCTGTCTTTGCTGAGCCTTCTAAAGTAGTCTTTGAAGAGAAACTAAGTTTAGGCTCCATCTCTGCAAAGAGATCATCCTCGGGGTTTGGCTTCGACTTGAGCTTAACTTCAGGTATATCATAGATACCAAAGTCTTGATTCGGATCAAAAGTTCCTTTTTTCCATTTCGTTGTTGATAGGGGCGCACTTCGTGTTGCTGCTGCTTTGGTCGTTTTAGAGTCTTTAGGTTTTGCTGTATTGGCAGTCTTTGGCACAGGAGTTTCCTTTTTAGGAGGCACCATGTCTTTGAGTTTCAGGGGTTTGCCAGTCCCTTTGAGCGATGAGATGAGGGTCTTTGGTGGTGATGACTCGGCAGCTGTTCTAACGGGGCTTCTGATTGGCTGATTCTGTCCGGGTGCATCTGCATCCTCCCAGTCCGACCAATCCTCATCGGTTTCTGTCCCATCTTGCGTTGGGCTCTTTCTTGTCAATTCCTCGCTCTCAAGTGCTTCATCAGGATCTGCCGCTGGAAAGTCTGTTGGGGATGCTGTCGAGGGATCCACTCCAAGAGGAAACGAACCATTGTCAATGCTGCCCTCTGGTGACAGACGATGGGAAAGACTACTGAGCTGTTCCTTATCTGGAGACAGTGGAGCTATAAGTGATGTGGAAATCGAACAGATGAAAAGCATTATTAAACATATATCACCTGTTTTTTAAATTTTTATCGGAACACATAAACCAGCCCCTACATTGTATGCAGCAAAAAGATCAACTGTCACAGAATGAAAGCTGGTATAAATAACCAAATGATTAAAAGTGGTGTCTAACATGGTATAGAGTTAGCTTGATACAACCAGAATAATGAGGGAACAGAATTGCAAAACTCTAATGAATATCAAATCGGGAATAGGAGAGTTGTTTTGTCCTACAAATAAATTATTTCCATATTTATTCAATGAAAACATTCTATGTAGCTTGGAATGCAAATGATGAACATGGAACTAAACAATAATACCAGTGGTAAAATGATCCCCTATGAATGTGACAAAGGTATTGGCAAGGTTAATGACTATGTCACTGCATATTTACAACCTTCACATCTTTGAATGCTTTGGGTTCATTCTTGGATGCAACAAAGAAAACTACAACCACCCCCTCCCCCCCCCCCCAACAAAAACAACAGTGAAACCTTACCTTTGGCTTTGCTTTCCATCATCTTTCTCTTCTCCTCCCTCTCTCTCCTCCTCTGTTCATTCTTTATCCTCATCTCCTCTCTCCTCTTCTCCCTCTCCGCTTTCCTCGACGCAGAAACCATCGCATCCTCTCCCACGGCCACGCCCGTCTCGGAGGATGTCTCCTCTTCCAGCTCCAGCTTGCCTACCAACGCTCCGCCCCCCTTGGTGGGGTAGGATCCGGTGGGAGAGGAGGGGTTGGGGGCCATCCCGGGGAGGGTGATAACGCCACTCACCGCCGTTAGCTTAGGAATGTTGAGCATCTCTTTGGTATTGCTTGGTTTGGTTGGAAACTGATAATGAAACACATACCAGGGTGCATTTCAGTCAGGATGAGTGAACAATGAAAGATTTGCTATCAAGCAAGTCGTTTTTAAAAGTCAAGTAAGTTATTTTCAAAAGTCAGACAATGGAGTCAAACAATGGGAACGAAGTGTTGTTTCTTTCTGTCTTTCCCTGTTTAGATTTACAAAGTATTTTTTTAAAGAACGTCAAGTTCAGATGAAAAGGAAAATATTTTGAGAGCTTTTCTCATTCTTTGTTTGTCAGTTTGGAAGACTCTAACAGTAGAAATATCTGCTGAAAACGATTGCTTTTCAAATGACCTTACATTTGAAAATTTGACAGTAGTTGAAAAGTTTAAACCAAACTTTCATGCCTCGATCATGTATGTGTAGTCCTATATACCTTATTGTGTGTGTGGTCCATATGATTTTCAACAAGATTGAGTTAATTTCTTTTCATTCTTATCACACCAAGACCTAAAAATACATTAAATCAACTGTACTACATAATAAACCGTCCCCAATTGCTTCATACAGGTTCTTCCAAAAGGACATGTACTCAACTCTATCTTAAAGCCCGTCTGTACTAGTTTGGCCAGGGGGGATTAGACCACCCTGCAAGGTCACTGACAGGAGGTTATTTCATCAAATCAGCTCTCAATAAACATAAGAAAAAGAAGATCATGGGGGACCAAAAGGCACCAATTAGGCATTGTTTGCCATATACAGGGCGCAAGTAGCCAGAAGTAGTGCAGTGGGGCTTTAACAATTAAAATTTTGTCCCAGAAAAACATTTTGGCACAAGAAACTTTCATAGTACGGTTAAACTAGCTATATAGATACCAAACACTGATAAATACTTCACTTAAGCAACACATACCTTGGGACGACCTTCGACAAAAAATTTGCCCCGTTCTCCCCCGACAACGACCTCTGGCCCCAAGAGATGGACGAGTTCAGCCAAGGCACGCAGACTGTCTGCTACGAGATTGGTGTGATGGTCCTTCAAACCCAAGAGAAGCTAGAGAGGAGAAGGAGAGGTCAAAGGGCTAGGGCATTGCTAACCACAACAGTATAGTGTATACATGTTATTGACTAGAGTGTGGAATTAACACTGCCATTTTTTTTCATTTTTTTAAAAACTTTTTAAAATCCAATTTATCCAAATCTATACATTAAAAAAGTAAGGAATACAAATCTGAAGAGAAGAGGCATAAATATTCACTTCTGAATGACAAACGCCTATAAACTAAAACAACTACAACAACAATGTTGATTTTATTATTCCTGATGAAATGCACACAAGAACTGGTGTCTATGGAGTGGTCACAAAATTTACTATATTACCGTATATAATGTACTTCCGTGTAGAAAAACTTCACACCACTGAACATTATTTGCAAAAGAGTGCATGTATTGTTTCATACAATTTAGGTCTTGTTTGATTGTGATTTCAGTCAATCAGGTAGAAGTTCAGTCCCTTATAACCATAGGACAGCAGCTTTATGTATCATGAGGTAAGTCTACCTCGTTTGAACTTTATTGATATGTTATTATTGTAAATATGCTACCGTATGTCATTGACTTTTATCTTCAATAAAACAAAAAGTTCACCTCGTTTGCAGGCACAAATCCTTGTGGGTGGTTGACCTGTTGTGCTTAACAGTATCTGCTATATTGTTATTATAATTATTATCATCATCATCACCATCAATATTATTATCATAATTATCATAATCGTCATCATCATAATCATCATTATCTTTATTTCATTATATCATCATCACCATCGCCATCATCATCATCCTTATCTTTATTTCATTATATCATTATCATCATCACCAACATAATTATTTTCATCACCACCATCATCATCATAATGATCATCACCCTGTTACCTGAGGTAGTATGGTCCTTTTCAGAGTTCCTTCGTCAAAGAGGTCCACAAAACCGGGAAAATACATAAGAAGGAGGCTACGGATGTGCATCTCCCTCGACGGGAAGACCTGAGCAATGATGGGGATCATGTGACGCTGAAACATATCCAGGGGCAGTATGGGATTGATACGACCGGGCAGGAACTCTGGATTCTTCTTGGACTCTGAAACACAAGATAAATAAAATTTGTTGTTCCGTTTAAAATTAAAAATGGGTGATTTTGAATTAGAGGAGGCGCAGTGGCTCAGTAGTAGAGCAGTGGTTTTATAAACGGGAGGTCTCATGTTCGAAACCCAGGATGTGTTAGGGCCCTTTGGTAAGGTATTAATCTTCATTACCAAGTCCCTCGGAGAGAACGTAAAGCCGTCGGTCCCCTGGTTGCTTTTCTTAGCAGTCAGAAACCAACCAAACACCCAAATGCATTGAATTGTGATTGATTAAGTGAACAATGCAAAACCTTTGTGTTTATAATTATTGGACCTTATCATCATGTGAATTGATACAGAGTATCTTTAAAGTCATGATGCACATTTGAAAACTTTGTGGCACTCTAAGGGTTAAAACATTATTTTGTCCTGCTGTAAATGGGGTAAGAAATCAAATAAAACATAAAGCCTCTGAATACAAAAACATGTTCTACGGGAAAATCATTATAAAATTGACATTTACCAGTGCAACTAGGCATTTACTTGGTACACAGTTGGACCAAAGGCAATACTAAAGCACAGCTTGGGCACCTATGAAAATGTTATCTAAATGTGCTCCCATGACTTGGGAACATGAGTGTACCCATCTCCTAAAAACAAATTTGTGTACAGCTAGATTGAAAGAAACAAAGATACCCAATCCTTAAAAAGAGTATGAAGAAAATAATGGATAACACAAAACTACGCACACAGAACCTAAATCAGACTTGGGTTCAGTGCGGGCCATATTTCATGAAACTACTAACATACAAACCTAATATTTTTGTTTTGGGTGATTGGTACACTTAAAAACCTTTAGAGCTTACAAGTAGATAAAGAGGGTATCCAACTTTATATCCATTAAACTGTCTATAGAGTACTGTGAATTTCTCTCAGTATACAACACACAGTGGCGCTTTACCAAATTAGGTCATCCTATTGACCTTTTAATCAAATGATTAGGGGCTTGACCCTTGGCTTATTCCTAATACTAACAGATAATGGATTTATATGCATGCTCTCTCTCTCTCTCTCTTTCTCTCTTTTGCTCCCTGTCTCTCTCTCTGTGTCTCTCCCTGTCTCTCCCTCTGTCTGTCTGTCTGTCTCTCTCCCTCTCTCTCTCACTCTGCCTCTCTCTCTCTCTCTCTCTCTACCCAAGTTATTATCTATCAATCTTTGAGATTGTGTGCACTGTAAAATGCAAGATAACAGAATCCAGTGAGCGGAGTGATAGTGCTGTATAAGCACTTTGGTCAGTTCTCAGTTGCTGGAACTGTAAAGCACTTTATAAGAAATAGTGCTGTAGTTATCATCATCATTATTATTCTTATTATTACTACTATAACCATCATCATCATCATCATCATCATCATCATCATCATCATCATCATCATCATCATCCTCATCATTATCATTGTCATCATCATCATCATTATTATTATTATCATTAGTACTATTATCATTATCGTCATCATCAACATCATCATCATCATCATCACCAGCCTCATCATTATCATCACCATCATCATCATCATCATCATTATCGTCATCATCATCATCATCATCATCATCATCATCATCATTTTCTAGAGCTCTTAATCAAAAGTTACTGAGCCAAAATATGGGCAATTACTCCCCGGCAAACAAGTTAATCCCTAGGACCTTACCCCTGCGTGGTGTAAGTAGATGAGGAAAGAGCATGTTGACTGCGACGGGTTCGGCCATGACGAAGCTGTTCATGATCGGGGTGAGAAGCCTGGAGGCGACCAGCTGGGCAGGGAGGCGGTAGAGGTGAGGGCCAAGCCTTCAAAGAAGACCGTCTTCTCGACCTCGCTCTTCAAGACCAACTTGTGCAGGAAGCTCATGATGTCGAGAAAGTCATTCCTGGAGGCAAAAATAAAGAGAAAAAAGGGTGTAACGTTTTTTAACAATACATAGAGTACCGAAGTGCTAACGTTACACTCGCTCGTCGTCCTGGTTACTGGTTCTAAACAACAAAGCCTGCACATAAGGTTCATTTGGCGAATTCAATGTTTGGAGCTGGTGTGATCACCACACCATTGTTTAACACAAAATTGTTTGGAACCAGCAACCTTGACAACTTGGCCAGTATGACGTCACACTTCGGTAATCTGTTTAACCTTTCTTTTCTTTCCTCCTTCTTTCATAAGGGCTAGACACCAATACTGCCATCTCATGTTCATACACCCACACGCATGTTTTCTCTTTGTCTCTTTCACCTTCTCTCTCATCAGTCCTATCTCTCATATCTCTCTTGAATATATTTCTGTTGCAGGTTCTTTCTTGTAACTTTGGAATTTCATTTATCTGCTACTCTTACTTATTATCTATTCTGGCTCCATATCATAGCATGAAAGGAAAACCTCAAGAGCAAATTGCTTTGAAAGAATGTTGAAAATAATAGTGTTTTAAAAGATGGCCGTTTTCTCCTCTCTCCCCCCCCCCCCTCTCTCTCTCTGTCTGTCTTTCTTTCTCTCTCTCTCCCTCTTCATCTCCCTCTCCCTCCCTCTCTTCTCTCTTATATCTTCCTTCTCTTTCTGTTGCACTCTCTGCTAAGAACCATGGGTGGGGGCATTATGAAGCATGAATGAGTTCTTACTTGAAGATTTCATCTGGGAGGAGGGTCTTCAGCTTTGGTCTAAACTTTGGATCTGGATTCAGAAACTGCTCTTCAATATTTGCAGAAAAAGATGAACTTATACTTCCTGTTAACGAATGAAAAAAAGAAAGAGAAAAATAAGTTGGTGCATAATGTACATTTAATAATAATAAGAATATTGGATATTTATGTAGCGCACATATCTATCATGCATGGTGTTTAAGGCGCTTCAACGATTACCGCAGCTCTGCTAGGCAGCCGATTTCGGTGCTCACAGCATTCAAAGAATTCCTTCCTACCAGTACCCATTTAACACCTGGGTGGAGAGTGGCTAATGTAGATTAATATCTTGCCAAAGGACATTAGTGCCATGACGGGACTCAAACCATGGACCCTGTGATCCACAATCCGACGACTTATCCACTAGACTACAACACCTCTACCATTTAGATTATGAATAAAGGCATTCAGATTTAAAACAGCAAATTATCACATCAGAAATGTATAGTGAAGTTCAAGACTGACATAGGTAATTTGGCAAAGCCATTTTGTTGTGCAATAATTCCCTCAATTGACGTGCCTATTGTTTTGTGCAAATATGCATGTGCGGCAGACAAGCAATCATGGAGAGAGGCGAGGAAAGCAAGTAAAGTGTTGATAATTACCTAGATCACCAAGGTATTCCAGTAGGGTCAGGGCCAGTGCACCGAACCCAAAGGCATCTCTAGCGTGACCCATACTAGGACCAATGGACGTCTTCAATCCTTCTTGTTTCTCCTCGGGAGGAATGGCTTGAGAGTTCCTCAGTGGTCTGCTCTGGTTTAAAAACTACCAAAAGAAAAGAACAATGATAAATGTGTAATAATCATAATAATTGACAGGTTTTGTATAGCACATATCACATTTTGATATATATTCTGTATAAAAGGTTTTGAGCTAACCAGAAAAATCAGCATATCCTAAATAACATCCTTTCATTTGAATGGTTTGTTAAATTGTTTGTGATAGGATTTTATTTGAATTGATTTCACAATCCACAACAATGAAAAAGGAAATTCCCCGAAGAAGAAAAAGACACATAAAGTGAAAACAGAAATCTCTAGTAAGACAAATAACCCCAACCTACATTTTCTACGCGTGTTGTGTAGGAAAAAAAGAGAAAAACAACAACAAATACATTTGGGCAATACAATCACATTACTTTTATACCTTAAATTCATGACCCTGAATGTCTGTCAAAGGTAAATGACATATCTCATTGTAATTGTTTAAGCAAAGAATTTCATATTTAAGTAGTTCCATCAAACTTTACAGAACAGTACAGATATTGCCTCGATTCAAAGGAATATTGCAGCAACATATCATTCCTGTCAAGACGTATATACAATACATGTATGTACATGTAGCTGCAGGATCAAGGACTGACATGTATAAAAACTAATTATAGCACCTCATATTGACAAAAGAATGTAAACAAGCATCGCCTAGGTGACAGATGGCTATTAAAACACTGTAAAATGATTTTTAGTGGACATACTATGCGAGACAGATGTTATTGATGACAAAATCAATCATTTTCTTCTGGAGATTGATATCACAAACTACCTGTTCTTGCATATTTCATGTTCTGTGTTAAAAGATTAAAAGACCATCAAGCACAGGAAATTACCACTTAATGGTGAACTCTAAACATCTTGAATACGCAACTTTCCAAGCAACCCATAAAAGTCCTTCATGATGATACGATATGTTTTGTGTTTAATAAAGATTAAAGACCATCACATGTACCTGTGGTTGCTATTTGCTATCATGAAGTACAGGAAATTGTCACTTAATGGTGAACTCTAAACCTCTTGAATACAAAACTATCCAAGCAACTCATGTAAGTCTTTCATGATCATACAATATGTTTTGTGTTTAATAAAGATTAAAGACCATCACATGTACATGTGGTTGCTATTTTGTCATGAAGCATTGGAAATTGCCACTTAATAGTGAACTCTAAACCTCTTGAATACACAACTTTCCAATCAACTCACGAAAGACCTTCATACGTTCATATACAAGTATTAAGCTAATACACAGTATATAATGGCAAAGATCCATTTACCTGTAATGTTGCATCTTCAAATTTGCATAGATGCTCCATGCCTCCTAATCTCCATCCACCATCTGTGCAGCTCACATAGATGGATGACATACACACGTTGTTATGGGATACTCCTCCCTGAAATAAAAAAAAAATGATAAATTTCACATAAAATGAAATGTAATGGTTTTCCCATTCATATGGAGCACCAATTTTTACCTCAGATCCTGAGATTTACACAGAGCACTAATACTCACACAAGACCAGAAAAGTAGAGCCCTGAATGTAATTTCAATTTTCAAGTATTAACTAGACAGTAATCAATTTTGAAAATTAGGACATTAGCTAATTTCTCATCTTCAAAATCCAACAACCTCCTCCCCTCCCCCACCCCCCCCCCCAAAAAAAACAACAACAGTTGAGCAATAGCAACAGTTTGTTCTAGTGATTGGCATTGGCATCTACCTCAAGTACCTCAAGTATTATATTCCCTGCTGCCTGCTGGGATCTAAGTAAAACTTTCATCAGCCCTCACTCTGCCCCATCTATCTCTCTCCTTTCTGTTTCTCTGCTGTTTCAATGTACTTTTTACATTTTTTATGCATCACAACTTCCAACAGCTGATCCTTTATTGTCTGATCATGTAACTGAATTTAAGTGTTTTGGAAGTGTGAGCTGAAAATGTCATTAAAGCCCATCTGCACTAGTTTTGCCAGGAGTGATTAGACCTCACTGCATGGTCACTGACAGGTGGTTATCTCATCAAATCAGCTCTCAATTAAAATAAGAACTAGATGGAATTCGACTGCGTGCAGTCGAAAATGATGCCTCCGTCATAGAGCAATTTTACAAACCAAAACAGAAGAAATTTTTCGGATTCAAGTTCAATTGTAATCCGTTGACAGGTTCTCAGAATATCGTGATTACAAGCAATTTCTCATATACATATATGACCCTTTGATCTTTGACCTCATGACCCTAAAATCTACTCAGTTCATTGGCTCTGCAAGATGTCCTGAGTTAAATAGTAATCCATCTGTCAGTTCTAATGAGAATGTGTTCACAAGCTATTTTTGCATACATAATGAGCCCATGATCTTTGACCTTTGACCTTATGAACCAAGAATCTACTCAGTTCATTGGCTCTGCAAGTAACATACATGACCTAATTTTGGCAGGAATCCATCAATCGGTTCTTGAGATAACGCGATCACAAGCTGTTATTGCATACATAATGTGTGCTGTGGCCTTTGACCCTTGACCTCATGACCACTAAATCTAATCAGTTCATCGGCTCTGCAAGTAACATACATGACCTAAGTTTGGCAGCAATCCATCAATCGGTTCTTGAGATAATGCGATCACAAGCTGTTTATGCATACATAATGAGCCCTGTGACCTTTGACCTTTAACCTCATGACCCCAAAATCTAATCAGTTCATTGGCTCTGCAAGATACATACATGACCAAAGTTTGGCAGGAATCCATCAATCGGTTCTTCAGATAACGCGATCACGAGCTGTTTTTGCATACCTAATGAGCCCTGTGACCTTTGACCTCGTGACCCCAAAATCTGATCAGTTCATCGGCTCTGCAAGATACATACATGACCAAAGTTTGGCAGGAATCCATCAATCGGTTCTTCAGATAACGCGATCACAAGAACGGGACGTACGTACGTACAGACGTACAGACGTACGTACGGACGGACGGACAACCCGAAAACATAATGCCTCCGGCTACTTCGTGACGGAGGCATAAAAAGGGGACCATGGGGGACCAATGGTCACCAATTAGGCATTGTTTGCTATATAGAGGGTGCAGGTAGCTATAAGTAGTGCAGTGGGGCTTTAAACAAAAATCATCTTTCCTTAACAACGCTTACCCTATCATGAAGGAAACCGAGAGCCTCAATGATATTGTACATCCCAGCGCAGATCTCCTCCGGACTCAACATCTCAATAACCAGCTCCAACGGTTTGACCTGCTCCGTCACCAAGTAGGTGCTGTCAACGTTGTTGCAGGATGCGAAGAACTTGAGGATCGTCGGGTGTCGCAGGACCTTGAGTTGCTGTATGGGCAAATATAACAGGCATATAAAATGAAATTGCTCTACCCAAATAATGAAGGCCCCAAGCCCAGTTGGTCTACCGATTGTTCCGAGAGTAAATCTAAGTAGACACATCAACACTATTCAGTTCCATTTATCAGGAGAAAAAAACAAACAATATTGACTATCCAACTTTCCTTGAATGTAATAGATGGAAGTTAAAAAATGCCCAACATTTTGTAACGTACATTTTTTTCATGTTTTTTTTTTAGGTTTCTTTCCCTTTTTTGTTAACATAAAGAATCTAGATGCAGGCTATGTTAAGTAGAAAACACTATGTCCCTCAGATAGAATGTTAAATGGAGGCTCCGTGTAGAGGAGAGTCACCACCTTTGCCTCTTAAGAACCCACTGCACTGTTCGTACATTGTATATAAGAGTATAAGAGTAAAACCCCGGTGTAGTGATCCACATGCACAACCCAGTATAATCTTAGGTATTGAAGAAGGCAGATACTCCATAAGAAGAAGAAGAAGAAAAGTCTATTCAAGGAATCGCATGGAATTATTATAGCTCCAAAAAAAGGCTTCACGTTCATGGTCCATCATCCATTTTCCTGAAGTCTGAAGATCATGCATGGAAGATGGAAATATTGCTCAATTTTCTTGGTCTATTTAAGTTGAACTAACATGAACAATTTGCTAATAATAGTGGATTTGTGATTGTGAGAACACTGAGAAAGTTCAATTAGTTTGTAGACCTAGATCTATAGTAGTACTTTTGCATTTGAAATATTAATTATTTAATTAGGAATTAGTCTAGACTCTAGTCTAGGGTCTAACATTCTCTGTTGTATTGTCATAAAATGTGCTCATCTGTTTTATGCCATTGCATCACAGCACAGCAACAGCTCATGTGCAAAACCATTCACTAAAAACTAAAGTCCCCCACACTGCCAAAGACAAATTCAAGATCAAGTGAGACTGAGATTGAATCAGAGTGAGAGTGAGGGTGAGATTAGACCGAATTTTTCGTCTCTTTCGTTCGTTAGGCTAACGAACGAAAGAGACGAATAAGAGGCTAACGAACGAAAGAGACGAAAAATTCGGTCTAGGGTGAGATTAGACCGAATTTTCCGTCTCTTTCGTTCGTTAGCCTCTTATTGGGGTAGGGTCGGCTCTCTCTTTAGAGACGGAAGCCGTTTATACACATGTCCTTGCTAACGCCACGGCCAGTTCTGGTCGTAGCGTTTTGCCCCCAAAATCCCACAAAATGTCATTTTACCTCGAGCATGTTATATTGTAAATTAGGCCTAGGCTATAATAAATCAGTTCCACTTACCAACTTGACTGAAATAATCAGTTTAATAGTCCCTTTTTAGGAAATTATGGGTCAAAATCGAAATCCATTTTGAAAATCTTTTTCAACATGGATTCCGATTTTGACCCATAATTTCCTAAAAAGGGACTATTAAACTGATTATTTCAGTCAAGTTGGTAAGTGGAACTGATTTATTATAGCCTAGGCCTAATTTACAATATAACATGCTCGAGGTAAAATGACATTTTGTGGGATTTTGGGGGCAAAACGCTACGACCAGAACTGGCCGTGGCGTTAGCAAGGACATGTGTATAAACGGCTTCCGTCTCTAAAGAGAGAGCCGACCCTACCCCAATAAGAGGCTAACGAACGAAAGAGACGGAAAATTCGGTCTAGGGTGAGATGTGATTGTGACTGAGCTGCGAGAAGTGACTGAGAGGACAAAAATAGAGAATCATATTAATAATTATCATAATGAAATTACATTTGCTGCATGTTGATAAATGTCCTGCCTTGATTTCTCCTCATCATATTTGTGAACAAAAACAGATACTCTGGAACCATCTGGCCTCTTGGCAGGGTGAATTTTCCAATCTTGCGCCGATGCAGATTCTGGCAATGGATCTTCCAGCGTACAGCCGGAGAGTGCACTGCTCTCCACGCCCATTCTTCACCGCTAGCGTCTCGTCCTGTTTAGTAGTTTACGCTGGTGTTTTCTCCTTTTTGGCGACAACGCCTACGTCTACGTGGAGGAGTCACTTACTGACTGTATTAGCCTTTAATAATACCTTGTTCAACAAGGCACTATCCACTAATATATCAAGTAGGTGTAAAATGATACGTCGTGCAAAAGATAGTATCAAACTTGTATTATTCCTTCAACGAAGTCGGTTGATGAAGCTGAAGCCTTATCTTAACCCCGTGCAGTTTTTCAGTGTCGTGGAAGTCGCCATTTTTATTTTCCAAATTAACTGCTGTAGCGCCCTCCCACGGCCACTCGTCGTAGCACCGCGATCATGAGTCATAAAAGTTTCGCACGTCCCTCGAATCTCTATATACTTTTGAGAATATCCCATTTTTCTTTCAACTTGTTTTGTATTTGTATTCCTGTATTTCCATTTTCTCCATCTACACAGTAACTCGTCTCAAACGTTATTCTTCTCTTATAATAATTAATGGCTTTTCCTTAACCATTTTTTTTCTCTTCTTCTTCTTCTTCTTCTTCTTCTTCTTCTTCTTCTTCTTAAGTTCTTCTTCTTCAGTTCTTCTTCTTCTTCTTAAGTTCTTCTTCTTCTTCTTCTTCTTCTTCTTCTTCTTCTTCTTCTTCTTCTTCTTCTTCTTCTTCTTCTTCTTCTTCTTCTTCTTCTTCTTCTTCTTCTTCTTCTTCTTCTTCTTCTTCATCTTCTTCTTAGTATTATCCGGGAGTATTATTAGTTTCTTCGTATATTACTATTCTTTTTTGTTTTTTTCACTGTTTTTCTTTATATTTAGTTTCTTTTTCTTTTTCATCTTTATAGGCTCTTCGTCGAATTTTTTTTCTCTCCCCTCCTCCTTTCAGTCGACCTTCTCCTTTTCTTATAATCCTCCTCAGTCCTATACATCATCCTCTGTTTTCTCTTCTTATTCTCCTATGGCATCTTATTCAGGCTCTTCAACTGATGCTTGTATAGATAGGTACGGACTAGAGCCGTACGGGGTCGCCCTGTCCACAAAAAAGAAAATATTCCAAATTAGGGAAATAAGATAAGTAAAGAAAGGAGGATACTGAGAGAGGGGGAAGAGAGAGAGAGAGAGAGAGAGAGAGAGAGACAGGCAGAGAGACAGACGGACAGAGCGTGAGGGCTTTGACTCCTCTTGCCCGACAATCATTATCCCCTACGGCACTTTTATTGATGGTAAAAAAAAGAAGATATTTAGTCGTTTGTCAATCTAATTTTGATATAAAAGTACCCAAAAATGAGGCTACATTCGGGAGCCATGCATGATGCATTGCACGAATCATGACGAAGACATCATCATGGGGATATTCATGGACCTGCCTGAAACCACCCGCTTCTAAATTTTGCGAGCGAGTGAGGAAAGGGACACTTTGCTATACATAATTATATCAGAAATGTTATTTCCTCATCAAAATACGTACCCAAAATACATATGTCTGAGCATCAATTAGCGGCTTCTGATACTTTGTTTTCATGAAGTTGACGTTATTCCGGCCAATTTATCTCCTTATTATTATTTCAAATTCTTTCGTCCATTTCCTTCATCTCTGCCCTTGCTCTCACCTCTCTGTTTGCTTGCCATTTGATTATGGGGCATGTGCCATAATGTGCCCCCTCTCGTACCCTGAAGCTATAAGCCACTGCACTATATAATCACATTGGAATAGTTTAAGATAACGTTGGGACGTCTTCTGAAAACTTATCATCTTCAGTATTCTTATGAAAATGTTGACTGCCACATTTTTTCAAAGGCAGGTATGACCAGGGAGAATGACATTTCTTGTCTGTGATGCATCGTGTCAGGTTCATAGCGCTCCGAAAGGGACTGTTCATCAATGTCAAATTAGCTAAAAGGTTGGTTGCAGCTAGGCTGCTATAAAGAGTACCGAACGAATTCGCTCGTCGTCCAGGTTACCGGTTCCAAACCACAGAGCCTGCACATGAGGTTCACCGCGAAATCATTCAAGCAACGGGCTTGAGCAGGGGGGATTCAATGATTGGGACTGGTGTGATCACCACACCATTGTTTATCACAAAATCGTTGAGAACCAGCAACCTTGACGACTTGGCCTGTATGACGTCCCTCTTGGGTACTCTACGCTAGCTGTGCACAATGCCATCTGAACATAAAAGGCGTGTCAATCAAAGAAAAGTGCCCCTTTAATGCATATAATCTTTTTGAAGGACCCTTGGTCTTCTTTTCGAAATGTCATGATAAAAATGGAGTTAAAAAAAACTGTTCAATCAAGATGATTAAGGTTATACATTGAAAATAAAGCTTGGTTAAATTAAGATGATGATGCATTTTGTATGGGTAGCTCATTATCATATTCCATTACTCTATTAAGACCTTGATTTTCACTGTTTCATCTTTTTTTTCCCTTTTTTTTTTCGTCCTTAAAGTCAATCACATGGCGAAAAAAAATAATAAGATAAATCTGCCCTCTGCGGGATTAAGATGATTATAGGCCTTTGCATAATTGATAGTTCTTCATGATGGCGATCAAAATTAAGTGCCTCTTCAAAAGTATACGGTCTTTTTCCTGGCTTGACCCAGAGTATGTCCATGCTTGAACTAACACCCTAAAGCTCGGAGGCCCCAATAAAGGTATCTCACTCCCCCCCCCCCCCCCTTGTATTTGATTAGCCGGGCTATTATGATGCACACTTGCATTATGAGAGGTTCCAATATTGTTAAACTCATGTTCAGTCTGACCCTTTAAACAAAATATTGATCATAATGTACTAAAGAGTGCAAGTTAGTCTTTTTCCCATTGAAGCAGGATGTCAAATCCACAAGCCTCGCAATGGATGGAGGCTGTGACCCTCCTACACCCCTCATTCTTAGTCCACAAGCAGAGACTCCAATTTGACACTGAATTCCTAAAGCCTTATAGAGTCTAGATATTATGTCAGTTTCTGGCTGTTTCGGCTAACAGAGCCTATAAGTATAATAGTCTTATTTTGCAGACACTGTTATGCACAGCGACTGGCAATGGATTGTGCCTGCAAACCACCCCCATCGTAAAAAAACTCACTTCGCGAACCACGCCCCCACCCTTCCCCCTCCCCCTTCTTCCCCCCCCCCCCCCCAAAATTGGAATTCTGACTATGCAGGCGTCTTAAAATTCCTTCTTTAATTTTTTTGTCATTAATTTTCTTTCTTTTTTCTTCTTCTTTTCACTTCTTCTTCTCCTTTTGCTTCTGCTTCTCCTTCTTCTTCATCTTCTTCTTCTTCTTCTTCTTCTTCTTCTTCTTCTTCTTCTTCTTCTTCTTCTTCTTCTTCTTCTTCTTCTTCTTCTTATCCCCATTGTAGTCCTCCTCCTCATAATCATAAACAAAAATTCCTCTTTTCTTATTTTCCTCCTTTCTCCTCCGGCTAATTATTATCCCACACTCCTCTTCCTCCTTCTTATTCAACATCCTTCCCCGCCTCTTCGATCATCCCCTTCTCATCCTGCTCCTTATCTTTCTTGTCTATTCAGTCTTTTCCATCCATTCAGTTACATTTCATCTCTTGCTTTGGACAAACTCATCATTATTCCGACATGATCAATTACCTGCAAGACCCTCAAATCCACCGTTTCACTTTCAGGCCGCAAGCTACCCACTTTTTCCTTTCCTCAAATTGCCGCCTTTCTTCTTTTCCCTTGGTTCTCAAAACGGGGGCAGCTCTACCCTTTGGCTATCCCTGATGCGCACACGCCCATCCATTTTGATCAACTGCTTTCTACATTTTTAATGAGGGCCCTTTCTTCTATTTCAAGTGTCTCCTCCTATCCAGGGTATAGGTCTATCGTGTATGCCTGTATTATACTCCTTTTAATAAATTATAGGCCATTATTATTATTATTTCGTTTCGATCTTGTAATCTTTAATGGATATGTCAGTACATATTGTATGAGGAGCTTTTTGAAGCGAGACCGGAAGCGATAATAATGATAGTACCGAGCTTGCTTATGGGGGTGCCTTTTTCGCTTCAACGTTCTCTGACAATCAACGAAAAAGGGAATCCTTCAAGTTTTATCATGGTGCCCTTTTACCTACTGCAACACCCCTTTAGCATCACAACTAGCATGTGAGGTAGGCAGCCCCCCTACCTCGTATGTGTTTGTATTACCTGTATATTATTTCAAAATTGCGGGACAGTATACCATTTTATGTACACGAGTTCAATGTTGACCCTGATACTGCTAATATAAATTGAAATTGGCGTTAGATGTTTTGTATCGAAATCAATATCCATTTCAAATCGGGTCAATTAAACGTTCGACGATTCGTCAGTAACCAATAATCATTAATTCGAAAATGGGTCAATACAACTAAAAGTTAAAGATCAGCGGATGATTTGGGTGAATTCCAATGAAAGACCAGCAAACATTCATATTAGCGCATTTCAAGTTCCTCCATTTTCTACATGTTAATCAGTGGAGCAGTTTACCGAATGCGTTCATCAATTACATAGAACGGTATGTGGGATGGAATGGAGGTGTCAGTTTTATTTTAAAGGCTCTTACGAAATATCCATGAAACATTTTTTTTGAGACATCAAGATGAATAAATAAAATCAGGCACCAGGAGAAAAAAGTACCTCATGTTAGATAAACTTCCCATGTCCACCGATTAACTCTCTAAAAAAAAAAACTGAGGGATCACTGACGGCACTCCTCTGGAGAGTGAAAATGTAGTGAAAATAGATTGAACATTCACTCTTTTCTTCTTAGAGAGCACTCGAAAATCCATCGATATTCACTCCTAAACAATTAGTGATCCCTGTGAAAAGTGAAAATTCACTTTTTTTTTAGAGAGAGAGTATGTAAGCGTAACGCACAAATCAAAGAAATGAAGAGAGAGAGAGAGAGAGGGGGAGAGAGAGAGAGAGAGAGAGAGAGAGCGAGAATTCTCTTCTTGTTCTAACTGGTAATCTTGATCTGAACAGATAATTTTTCAACTGATAGCGAAAAAAGATTTTCAAGCTACGGTCTTTGTGTTTTGTTCTCCTTGAATCATTCAAAAAGAAATTCAAACACTTTAAACGATATCTGACATTTAAAGTCACAGCGGAAGGATACGACTTTGTTAATTCATTTTTCTTAGAATGTACAATGGCAAACAACACCACTGAAAGTTTCAAGAGGTATGATCAACATTTGGAAAAGGAAAATCATTTTTCAAAGACTAGTGACATTTTAAGAAGTATATTCGTACCATGGTACTATTTATACGAATTAATTAACTTTTGTTAGTACGACACATGCTTCTG